TTCACTCTGATATTACATGACTCCTTTCACACGACCCAAACATAAACTAGTCCAGCTCCTGGAGAAATGAAAATCTTGTGTCTACAACCTGATTAATTAATTATTTTGAGAATATTTTTTTCTACCATCAATGCAAGAGCTGTGCTGAGACTGGTCACTGCACAGCTGTGGGTAGTCAGAAGGGTCAAGCAGCTGGAATTCCTGTATTGAACAATGCATGGGGAAGCACTATTTACTGGGAATAAATCTTTACTACTGAGTTTTAAAAAAAGTTTGATAATATTTCTAAAGAATATAAGGGATTCAAAATTAGCGTGTAATAAATCCTTTATCTTAAACATTAGGAGATATTTGATTTTTATCAACTAAATAACCATGAAAGAGATAATCTGGAGAAGACTAGTTTGAAAGGATTCCAAGGTGTTGTTCTGCGGGGGCAGCCCCAGTGTACCCTTGAGCCTTGCCAACTGTGCTGGAGGAAGAGCTAGAGTTGCTCTGCATTTGTGGGCTCCTGGATCTTGGTGTGAAGAGGTCATAATAGACAACGTCCACCTGCTCTGGTGGCCACTGAGGTTTCTTGACCCTCTTGTTAGCTGGCAACTTCCCTGCCCATCCTTCCCTTTTCAGACACCTCTTCCCACTGGTGGCCTCCCCCCGCGCCTCTTCACTGTCTCTCTTTACAACTGACCACTCCTAGAGCTCTCCTGTCTCTCCACCTCTACCTTCAGACTCTCCAGCTTCTGTGTCCACTTGGAAACATCATCCTTCTCTTTGAAAACCTGCTCAGGGGAAATTCCAGATAGTGTGGCTATAGAATTGCCACAGGGGAGACTGGAAATGAGAGAATGAGTCATCCTAGCTGCGGGATGTGTCACCACCAAGAGCGGCTAGGCCTTCCCTGCTGGGGCAACAGCTGTGGATGAGGGGTGGGGACAGGTAAACAAGACCCGTCATCCTACATTCTTATAATTCCTATGGCTGGTTCCTGGGCTGCTCTGCAACAAAAGGACCTCACATAGAAAACTGAAAGGAGAAGTCTCTGAAATATTCATGAGTAATAAGGAAGCAGTGAGGACCGATAGTCTCCTCCTCTTTCCCCCTCCTCTGAGGCCTCACCCTGACTCTCATCACCCTCCCACCTTCACCCATTTTTCACTTTTTGGTTGTAGATGCACACAAAACCTTTACTTATGTATGTAAGTATGTAGGTATGTGTTTTTATGTGGCACTGAGGATTGAACCTAGTGCCTCACTCATGCTAGGCCAGTGCTCTACAACTGAGCCACACCCTCAGCTCCATTGAAATAAAGTTTCTGATACAGAGAAAACTTAATATCCTTTCCCTACTGCCCAGAAATCAGAAAGATAGGAGTTGCTATATAGAAGTGGGAGTCTAGGGTGAGCTGGTGAGACATGGAGCCCAGGCACGGTCGAAGCTTCACTGTGAGGCTCTTACAGTAGCATCAGTGAAGCACAAGGACAATGGCAAGGGAATCGCCATAGAGGACGTACAGGGGGCTGGACTAGGAAATTCACAGAGAGGATCTTAAATAATCTGGCAAACAACGGATTATTTCTGATTTCCTCCAAGGGAAAATAAACCCAGGGTTTAACCTAGGTAATCTGTAAAGTCCCCTTTGTTTCTGACACTCTGGGGTTCTGGGATCATAATCATAGAAACCAGCCTCAGCTGATCAGTCACCCTGCACTTGGCCCCATCAGCACTCGGTTCTCAGCACTAGTGTGCACTAGTGACTACTTCCTGATCTGTTACGTTTCCTCTGTGGGTTTCGTCTACCCACTAAACCATGGACTCTTCAAGTACAGTCTTTGTCTCCATCACCTGTGGATCCCCCTTCCAATTCAGTTTCTAGGAGCTGCAGCCCTTAGAGTGGCTTTGGATTGTCAGCAGAAACACTTTGCTGGGTCTGGGTCTTATTGGCTCCTGAAATCTGCTTCCTGGGCTGAAACCTTTCCCTTCTCTTTGCACACCCAGGTGCTCATTCTCCACCACCAGTGCACCCAGGCCTTCTGGCCATCAAAGTTTAACAGTAACCTTGTCCCTCAACAAGAACTGAGCACCAGGTAGATTCATCTTCCATTCTTGCCCTGTGTTCCCCAAGTCTCCCACCATTCGCTCAGAATACCCACCTCCACCAGCACAAGCGTTTGATCTGAGCTCCGGGCTCCTCACGTCCACACCCGGCGCCCTCTCTGAATGCTATAGCTTCAGGGTAAGAAACTGAGTGGCTGCTTCAGTTCCGTATTCAGGTTTCCTGTCATTTCCTGTCACCCTGTCCTCACAGCTACTTCCTGAAGTTTGAGTCAGTTCCTTCTGCTTTAGGCACTTAAATTAAAAGAGTTAAATTCTTTGGTCTTTTGCAAGGTTTTCAGGATCATGAGGCAATCACAAAAAATGCTGTTTTCATTCCAAGTTTGTAATTTCATCAGAGAAACAGACATTGAGCTGGAAAACCCATCAGGGAATGTCGTAGATCAGCATTTGTCCTGCATAGGTGGGCAGCTGCATTTGCAGTAGTAAAAGAATTCAGAGCATTTGATGTAGGCTGTAGTAACCAAGAAAGCCCTAAAGGGAAAAGTGATTTATATGTAGATTTTGAAGAGTTAAGATTTAAAAACTAACTCACTTCTGCATTACCCACAGCACTTCAAAGCGAGACCTATATAGTCCATGTCTAAATAAGAATTCATCAATTGACAGGAGAGAATAACTAACGAGGGGCAAGTCAAAGCATGGAGGGAGAAAGATTCCTGGTTGTTTGGGGGGCTGTGTGGAGTCGGAGCTCACCAGGAGGATTTGGTTTCAGAGAGAATTCTGAAAGAACCAGGTGGTATCATCTGATGGTAGGACTGTGCATCCAGATCAGCTGTTCTTCCCTTTCCTCTTGAAGTCACACTTGCTCAGGTAACTTGTTCTAATGAAATGTATCCTTTTCTATTTCAAGATCACTGCAAGTTTTGCTATGTTTTTTCTCTCATTGCCTGTCAAGGCAATCTACAATTCCCCAGAGTGGCTCCTTGGGCAGCCCGGTGAGTGGGGGGGCTGACAATGACAACATGAGTAGAATCCCAGTCATTGTGGGACTTCAAAAAATAACCCTTTGTTGTTTAACCACCGAAAAGTGGCGGGTGTTTATTATTGTATCCAATCTAGCCTCTCCTAAACTTGCTCACAGGTCATGGACTCCCCAAGGGGCCCAAGCAGGACTGGAATTGGTCCCCCATAGAGAAAAGGGCATCTCTGAATAAGGGGCAGAAAGTTTCTAAAGTCACTTCCAAATCTGAGATAAACTGGGTAGTTTTATTCATTTGTTCTCTCGTATTTATCATGGGGGCATGGAAACTATTTTAAGGACGAGTAAGTTTGTAGAAAGGGAAAAAAACTTTCATTTCATTTGGAATCCTAATGTAGTATCATAATTGGAACTAACAGACCAGATATTTGACACAACATATAGGAACACAGTTCTCTGAAGAAACCACAGAACTTACAGATGACACAAGAAAACCCATACCCCTCTGCAAATGTCTCAAGGTCATTCTTGATGATGTAGTGAGATGCAGCAGGCAGAAGTAGCCTGGGCTTTGAAACCAGATACACTAGGCTCCATTAACCTAGCTAATGTATCTTTAGAAAGGGCTCTAGCTTTTCCCAAGTAGCAACTTTATATAAAAACATAATAATATGCCCACCTGACCTGCTTTGTGCTATTAAACTCTCCTCCCACTACTCCCACCCAGAGGCATCTCTAGGGGCCTAATGTTTTCAAGAGTTCTTCTAAGACAGTATAGAACATGAACAGTCTAATGAATTCAATATCCTAAGACCTAGCTTTCTTGGTTCAGTATTAGGACTGGGGTCCAGCAGCTAAGGCTAGAAGGATGCTTGCAGCCATTACTGATGTTGGTCAGTGAGGAGGAAGCCTGAGTATGTAGAGCTTTTTAGACATGTAACCATTTCTGTGCAGCCCATTCCTTCTTCCCCTCTCTTCCGTCCCCCATTCCCAGTGTACAAACACTAGGTATGTAAACAACCATGTTCATACATTCACATGCACACACAAAACTACTCAGTCTGAAAATAATTTTATTTTACAATTATTCAGGAAAGTTCCTGGGATGCTGTGACCAAGATTAAATCACCACAGAGCAAAGATTGTGAACAGATTAGTGATCCCTCCAGTCTCCTCTCTTCCATAGGTAGGGAGAATAGGCAGGGGACATATCTTGAATATAATAAGAGAATCACAAACTGGTGAGGGTGTGTGAGGAGAGAGAGGTGGTAGAGAACAGGCACAGATGGAATTTCCCCTGGCTGTCGTTCTTAGGTCTGGTTTTAAATATTTTATCTCTCTATATTCTCTTTCCTCTTGCCTGAGCCCTCTGGTCCACAGAGGTAGGTGAGTATGGGGCTGGGAAACTGGAATAACTGTTGCCAAGAGCACTGGAGCTGAGTGCTCCAAGAGGTGCAGTGTGGGCATCACGCTAGTCAGCCCTGGGCTGGAAGTCAATGCCCCACCCTGCACTGGCCCCTGCTGGCCCCTGGGCATATCTCAGGGTCCATAACTGAAGCACATACGAGTAACTGGAATGATAAGAATCTGAACACTGGTGTCCACAGCCAGTTCTTCTTGCCTTTCAGGGAAAGGTATCAGCCACTTAATACATTGTATAAATACATTACTATGGAGGCCAGTCAGTTAATCTACGTGTGATCAAGGGCATAGACAATGGGTGCTGTCCTTATAGTCGAGGACCACAACTTTCCCTCCGGTGGAAGAACAGTCAGGGGAAAAGATGCTGTCCCCTTCCCCATGATAAGTCCCTGAGGAGTTCTTCAGCTCCCATCCTATTCAGCAAGACATCTAATCACATTTCTATGAGGCTATTTGTTTATTCCCTAGAACTGTTTACTTTCCCCCTGAAGCAGGAAAAAATATAGACAAATGAAACAAAAAGAGCTATCAATCAAAATAATATTGAAATTCAAATTATTAGGTTTATTAGGACCATTCTCTTGACTTGGTTGAAAGACATGTCTCAGTATCTCATAGGACCATAGAACATCAGGACCTGCAAAACTCTGAACCAACCAACTGTGAGGCGTCTCAGATTAAGCAGAGTGTTTGGGCCCTGGGCAGTAGAAGAAAGCAGACTCTCCAGTCCCCGAAGTTCCAACCTGTCCTCATTCCACCTCTGTTTTTACAGGCACTTTTCTTGGAGAGGTGGAGAGATGATCTGTAAATGGGAAGACTGTTCCACTGGAATAGATAATTATGGCAATAGAGGTGACAGACTTCCAAGTTCTGAGGGGTACGGTCCAAAAAGTGACAACTAAGTTTATAGGTGTCCTGTGAAACACAGAACAAGTAGAACATGAATCATCAGAAAGTAGATGGCTGCCAACAGTGGCACTCGGGTTCGTGAATGACAGAGTGACCGCAGGACCCGCTTCCATCCAGCACCACTCCGAGTCTGAAAGAAAAACCTGACAGTCAGAGAGTTTCATCATAAAGGGCTGCGTTCTTTTCCCTTCCCCTTTAATCATGCAAGTTGGCAAATTCCACCAGGGTCCTCTAAGTCTTCTGCACCCTCTAGTTTTAGAGACGTCACCTGCTCAGGGGCTAGTCTTCTATATACTCTCTGCTTGACTCTGGACCCTCAACACTGGCAGCCCTGAGAGCACACCCTCTCTGCGTTGTCCCTTCTTACCCTTCGACAGCTGTTGCTCGTGATATCTATTAAGAATGACTGCTCCTGAGTGCCACATGAGCCAATGATAGGAGTCCGGGGAGAATCCCATTCGTTGTGTTCCAGCCTGTGTAAGGAAAAAGAGGCACAGTATGGGTTCACAGCACGAGAGGCTGGTTGGGGAAGTCTTCCTGGTCACCAACAGCCAGAGGTAGCACAGGGGATCTCAGCAAAGGCTGCTCTGCAGTGCCTGGCTCCAGAGTAGTAAAGGTGATACTAACTACCAGGAGTCGACTGTCTACTATGTACCAAGTGCTGGCTCAGATGCTTTGGAGTTGGTGGAGTGACCTGCCCCTGGGAACACAACCAGCAAGCAGTGGAACCAGAATCCAATATCCAGTTTTTGTTTTTGTTTTTTCCACTACACACATCTGATTCAGAGAAACTTATCATATTTTCTTTTTCGCTTATTAAAGGCTAAGAGGCAAAAGCATATTAAATTTTCTGTGAGGTTCTTCAAATTAAATTGCACTGGCAGCCTCTACTGCTTCCGGCTTCATTTTTGCTGATTTGCTTATTTATTTCATACTGGAACTTCTCCATTTAAGGAAGAAGCTGCCATCAGTCACCCAAAGGTCTCTTGAGGAAAACGAGAATTGTGGTGAGAGCACATCTGATCAAGCATCTGCCTGTTAACTGGGTGGGCGGGAGGGAATGCTGCTCTCCTCATGCTTCTTCTTCCTGGGGGATACCTATCACAGCTCACACTCTTCTCCAGGAGACAAGGAATACCTGAATCTGATCTGTGAGTTTGGAAAGAGATCCTGAGCATGCGCAGCCTCGCTCCCCCCCACCACCGCCACCTGCTTTCCTCTTGAGCCCCAGGCTGACTGCAGAATACACCTTCTGTATGTTTGATCCTCCATGAAGTATGTTTCTCTGAGGCAGCCTTGACCTGGAACTGAATGTTCTATTACTCTGGAGGCAAGTCAGTTAGGCTGAGGGAGGATGGGATGTCTGTAGGTATTATTGAACCAACAGTGTGGGCTGCTTTTCAACTGCAAGGCCACCTAGTTCCCCATGCACTACAGAGTACACGTGTATGGTCCCTAAGACTTTAAAGTACTTGGCCAAGGTGGTAAGCACTTAATTAGCTATCCCAATCTCCATTCTACATCACAGCCAAAGAGGGAACTATGAGGGGCTGGGCTTGGATTATGCAGCTCATCCACAGGCTCAGGAGTCACCCTGTGCTATGCAGTCTCAAGTTGCCTTGGGTAGGTAAATTACACATTAGGGGGATCCACCTCCACATGGGCCAGGTCTTACAGGTCTAAGCAATTCCACAGCAAGTAGAAGAGAAATAGCTATAGGTGAAAGGCCTGAAAATGCTGGGCAGAGACAGCAAGACAACACAAAGCTGTGCTGTGCCTCCACAGAGCCACCTTTAAAGCTGCACACCAAGGCCCACATGGAAGCTAATATGCTGAGTGGGAAAAAAAGGGATTTCAAATAAGACCCGCTCCCTGGGCTGCCTCTTCTGACACTTAAGCTTTGCAAGAAGGCATTTGAACACAAATACAATGAATTTCCACCCCAGTTAACAGGCAGATGCTTGATCAGATATAACATAACCCCAGACATAACACAAGAGCCTACTTTTAATGTTTCTTTCCACATAAAAGGACTTCCAGCGACAAATACTTGTAGTCACTTCACCCTCTTATGCATAGTGATTCTCTCAACTAGTGAGCTGGTAATAACGAATACGGGTTCCGTAGTCCCATCCTTTCCAATCACATATTGTGAAAATTATTCCCAAGAAGCACAATTCATTCTGTGATTCCAATGTTTTGAGTATGGCAAGAGCAGAATCTTCTACAGAGAAAGTTTAGTCTGTGACTGGGAGAGGAAGTGCAGGCTTAGGAAGTATCATTTGCTAATAAAGTTATTTAGTTTTAAAAATCAGCTTTATAAAGTGGTCTTTTCATCTTCTATTATGTTTTAATCTTTAAAAAAAATGACTTCAGTTGATTCAGATCTCAGATAAGGAATGGAGGTTGTTGTTGATTTGGCCCTCTGAAGAACCCAATACCCACATTATACAGTTATTGTGGGAATGCAAAATACTTTTCAAAGCTTACTTCATATCATAGGATTGGCAGATTTTGTTATTGTTATTGTTATTATTATTATTATTATTTTCTAAGAACTACTTTGGAAAGCATGGCCCTCCTAGACTCCAAAAGTAGTTTTGGGTGACCACAATATGACTCTACACTCACTGCAGCACCTGTCTCCTAGTGAGGGTAAGATCATAATGAATCCCGAGTCTGGCCATGCAAATGCTCATGAATGCAACGAGAAAAGGACAGAGGCTGCCCTGATTCAACTTTACCTTCTGATCTGCTCTTCAGCCAGAGAGAGGGCATTCTCTGCAGCTATTCTTTGGTCTCGTTCTTCTTCCAGCAGCTTTCTTAATTCACTCACTTCCTGTTTGGTATTGCACAGCTGCTCCTGGGCTTCAGAAAAGCTTCAAAATAAAAGGGAAACAGTGAGCATCATTAGATGCAGAACAGCAGGAAAGTTTATAGAAGCTTCTCTGAACATGAACACACACACACACACACATACACACACACACACACACACATCTTAAAAGCACAGCTGATGAGAGATTAAATGAAACTGCAGAAATACCTTCAGGATGTCTGAGGACTGACAATATCTTTCATTTCAATGCCACAGTATTTGTTAGGGGTGTTGCTGTTTGGCTTTATAAACTTTTCACACATACCATTTGTTACTATTTAATTCTTATATAATTTCTCTGAGGCCAAAAAGATAAGAAGGCATATTATGGGCCGGGGTATAGCTCAGTGGTAGAGTGCTTGCCTAGTGTGTGTGAGGTCCTGGGTTTGATCCCCGCACCACTAAATAAATAAATAAGACATATAAAGTCATATGGTGGACCACAGTTCAAGCTAGGTGATTGCCTGACTTCTGTGCATTTATGTATGCCCAGGAAGAGTCCTGCTCCCCTACCTTTGCTGTGGCTCCCTTGCTTCCTGAGGATCACTCTTTCTGTGAACTCCATTCTTTTCCTGGGGAGCTCCTGGAGCAACATCTACATGTGGTAGCCCCTAGAAGAAGAATGAGCTTAATAATTCAGTAATGAAAGCATTTATGAAACTCTATTTGTAAAAAATGAGTTCTCAGTTTTTACAAGTAGAGTTTGGAGAGAAGAAGAAATTTTACACAAGAAAGAAAATGGGAGAGAATGAGAAATCCTGGACAGGAATATTCTCACTTACAATTCTCAAGTGCAGGTTAAGAAGTGAGAATCTGCTCTGGTAGATCAGTCACCTCCCTAAAACCCTTGTCTCTTCCTTAGCTTTCTCCTCACATTCTCATTTTTTAATTTATCTTCTTGCAAGTTTAAACCTCACCATAAATGTCTGCTTTCATCTAGTGGGGCTCATGGATTTCCAGAACTCTGGTCCCTCCCTTGCTTGTGAACTCTCCAAGCCCCTCTGTGTGTCTGATGGAACTCATATGAATTCTCAGCCTCCACGACCTTCAAAACCACACTCTTTCCATGGCCTCCACAATTTTGCCTGTTTTGTCTCCCAGGTCCTCCTACAGTTTTCATATTTCTTAAAGCAAAATCCATACTTTCTCAGTTTTGGAGGGCCCAAGGCTGTCATTACTGTTTCCCACTCAAGTTTTGATTTCTCTCTCACTGTCTCACTCATCTTTTTTCTTCTAATCCTTTCATTCTGTAGTTTTACCTAGACTTTCTTCCCATTTCCTTAACATTCTCCTCTTCTGCCCCACTGTCTGACATCACTCCTACTTGTGTAAGCGTCTTTGAGGCTGCTCTTTATGCTTTACCACTTGCCCTCAATTTCCTAGTACTTTTTTATTCTCACTTCCTTCTTACTCACCGCCTGCAGATCTCGGACCTGCTTCTCCAAGACTGCACAGTGATTAAAAAGGTCAGTGTAGTGCTGCTGGTTCTCACGAAGACTCTGACTAGTATCACATAGCTGAATGGAGAGGGTGTTTTTCTCTTCAAGGAGCTGAGAGAACTGAAACACAAGTGAGGATAAGTGCCCTTCCACAGAACCATTTTACCATAGCACTTCTGGGTTTTAAGGATCAAATTTTTAAGTGCATGTCAAAGTGAGAAAATGCCTAGTTGTTTCAACCAAGAAAAGAAAATTATTCTGGAGGAGTAGCAGGGAATTTTTTTTATTGTTTTAATGGTGCCTAGAATATTGACTGAAAAACCATGAAACAGAAACCCAAAAATCTACTAGGATAAGCTATCCCAGGAATATAAGAGGAGAAAGGAAGGCAATAGGTTGGGTCCAAGTTAAACTAGTAATAAATGACTACAATCCCAAATTCAATATAGCTAGAGAGAGCACTGTCACTTAAAAATTTGTACAATAATATTACTGGACAGATTCTTCAATACCACAATACCAAGAGAATAGAGTAAAATATCATAAGCTGGATGTGATGGCACATGCTTGTAATGGCAGAAGGATCAAATATTTGCAGCCAGCTTTGGAAACTTACAAGACCCTGTTTCAAAACAATAACAATAAACAAAACAAAATGGGAAGGGGATGTAGCTCAGTGGTAGAGAACCCCTGGGTTTAAACCCCGGTACTATCAAAAAGAATAAATAATTATAATGTGTGTTAGGTATAATGTTAGAAGTGAAAACAGAATAAATCCAAACACACCTAAAGACATGCAAATAACTACATTGGAAGCATTGATTTTCACAGATTCAACAGTCAAATCAAACAATGTTTTAGAGAAAATAAATTGTTTTTTAGAGATACTTGGGGGGGGCATTTGATGCACACATAAAATTAAAACAAGAGAATTACACATACTTATAAAATTACTTAGTAAGCTAAATTTTGCTCTTTACTTTTTACTTTATGCGGTTCTGAAGAGCAAGTCTCAGCTTATAAAGCAATTTTACAATTTCTTATTTGAAAGATGTAGAGAAAGGACTTCTGTCCTTGTCCACAAATGGTTAAAAAAAAATGAGTAGTGATTTGTCCAAAGTTGTGTGGCTGGCAGATGTCAGACCCTGGTTCAATGTGGTTCTTGATTTCAAGTCTAGAACTCTTATCTACTACCTGATAAATCCAATTGGAGGGCCCAGCAAGGGACGTTAAGAAAGTCATGGGTACCTGCAGTTGTGGACTGGTATTAGTAAAGAAAAGTATGTAAATATGTGAGAGGCAATATGGATTTGAAAGCAAAGTAATGAGAACAATGACAACTATTGACAGAGGGAGTAATGCAATCTTCTAACACAGGAGAAAGAAAACGTCCCTGGCCACACTGAATAGTTCAAATCATACCAAACATACGCACAAATAAAAACCAAACAAGACAAAAACAAAAACAGAAAAACCCTTCATATTGAAAAAAATCCTCATACTTTTCCCTTAGCTGATACAAAAGAGGAAGGAAAAGGCCTGCAAAATTCACTGGAAGCAAAAACTCCCACAACTGGAGAAACCAAATTACCTATCAGTAATATGCCACCTCCTAATGTTTGCACTGCTTGGTCTAGAATAAACACGGTGCCTTTAGTTTAGGGCTGGCACCATGATCCAGGGACTGGAGTCCTTTTATTGTAAATATGGTTTTGTTGGAATAAAATCACCTCATTCATTTGTGTATTGCTGCTTTTGGACTACAACTGCAGAGAATCATAGATACACTGTCAGGTCTACAAATCTCAAATATTTACTCTTCTAAGCTGCTAAGGAACAGTTTGCTGACATCTGCTTATAAGCTACTATATTTCATCATGTCCACATTTGGGGGAATGATATAGACTAAAATTATCATTATTTATCCCTCTTACATTTTAAAATATTGAGAATATTTTTACAGTACACACAGATATCTAACCATGCTGGTAGAAACATCTAAGGAAAGAATGAGGGCAGTGGCTTTAGAGAGAGATCATTTTATGCTGACCATCCATCTAGGCCATCGGATTCTAGGGCCCCAGAAACAATTCTCCTAGTTAGTTGGGACCAATTTAAGAGTGAGGGTAAACTCAAGGGACTGTAAAAACTTCAAGAGAGGCCCCTATGTGCATCCTTAACACCTAACACACAACTAGATTCATAGCAGGCAAATAATAGTTCCCTGTTAATGAACCCAGGCTAGGTAGCTAGGTACCTTCTAGCTGAGTTCTAAAAGAGCTGTTTCTCACCCAGAATGACAATGACCTATAGCGTGTTTTTCGTACTTTTAGTGGAATTATATCTCAATAAATCTGTCAAAAAATACAACTTTGATTGTAACCCATAGGCTCGCACATACATTTAACTGAAACATAAGTTCATCTATATTATAAATAAATATTTTTATTGATTTTCTCTCAAAGAACTCTAGCTGCACTATTTGTCTTAGCTCCAAACTGGAAAAACCCAATGTCTTTCAAGAATAGAAGAGAGAAATTACGGTACAACACAATACTGTACAGCAAAAGAATGAAAAAAAAATCACATTATATTCAACAAAGTGGTTGAATCTCACAAAATAAATGAAGCCCCACAACAGAGAAGCTACAACTCCACTCATATGTAGTTCTAAGGTGGGTGGTAGGGAATAGAAGAGGGCACAGGGCACTTCTGGGGTTCTGGCACATTTTGATTCTTGATCTGTGTGCTAATCACATAGCTGTGATAATATATCACACTACACCTATGATCTGATGCTTTTCTATGTTTTACTTCAATCAAACATTTAGAATTATTTTAGTTGCTATCCACCAAAATGATTGCATCTTTTCAAATACTCCTGAACCAGTTTTAACACTGTCCTAGAAGACAAATACTCAGAGACAGTCATGGTCAAATGTTTAGAGGTCAAATGTTTGAGCAAATGTAAGGATTGAGATGGGAACTAGCTCACTGCAAGAAGAGGGGCTATAGACCTATTCTGGAACTTCTGGAATATCTGACAATCTGGAAGGGAAACTGGGTGGCAGCTGCTCAGAGTCCCTCTGAAACTCCCATACAAATGTCCCCAACAAAGGGGGATTCGCAATTTCACCAGTTTGTTTGGATCCACTTTTTAAAAATGCAGTTTTCTCTACCTAAGTTAATAGTATTAGTTTCTGACACTTTATTACCAATTAGTTGAATTTAACACCATCTAATGAGTATGTTCAACTTATGGCATGCACCGTGCTTTTACACAAAGAAGATCACATTTGCTTCACAATGACCTCCTCTTAACATCTTAGGTAAATTACTGTATTATACTGGGCCTTTTTCCTCTTCTGTGAAAAGAGCCTACTGATTTTTACAATTTTTGACCCCAGACTCTTGGTGAACTGATGAGAAACCTATGCATAACCCATTGTGCATACATTTTGAGGCATATACACTCTCCTTGAAGCCAATCTCTGGGCTCCAGAGTCTGGTCTCTTAAATCATTTCTATTTTTAACACAGACTCTTAACTGGATTCTGAAGAAGGCAGGTAGGAATTGAGCCACTGGAGAACATTTCTGACTAGTCAGAAAGCAACAGAAGGATAATTATTCATAAAAGATGAGGTAGGGAGTTACCCCAATGTTACTAACAAGTGATTCGGGTGGGGAGATGATGCTGGGAGGAAAGCTTCCTAGAGTAGTTGCCTTCTTTATTCTTACTGTATGGATTTTTCCAAATCATCCTCAAGGACTGTCTCCTCTCCAAGCGCACAGAAAAGAAAATGGTCCTGTGTCCAGTACTTTGGAATAAGCAACCCAGGTTCTGAGAAAGTTGTGCTACAGCTGGGAGCCTACGCTGAATCAGCTTCTACTTACCATCTTGCTTCTAGTCATTGGAAAAAGCAACCAAATTCCAATTAGCAGCAAACACTTACCTTGCTGTTCAATTGCTGAATTCTTATTTCTTTTTGGTGAATTTCCTTTAAACTATCATTGAGCTGGGTCCTGAGAAGTTCTGTCTCATAAACTAGGTTTTGTGATCCCTCAAGGGAAGTTGATGTCTGTAGGGATGCCTGCCAGGATACAAACATTGATGAAATTTTCTTCTAAGATTTCTCATGCTTAATTCCTTCCCTCTAGAAACCCTGCCCACCCCACAGAAAGTCATAAGGTAGCTCGCCTAATAGTGGCAGATGGGCACTTAACTTATATGAAGCTGATGTTTTCTGGTAATGGTAATTTCAATCAACACTGATTCCTCACCTGTCTTTGGTATTGTGCTTTGAGGGTCTGAGTCTGGGATGAAGACCTGAATTCCCTTAAAAGATTCTGCAGGTGACTGAGCTGCTGATCTTTATCTGAGATAGCCATAAGGTACTGCTCCTTCATTCTCCTCTCATGCATTTCCCAGGAACTCTTCTCCATCCTAGAAAACAAAACAAACAAACAAACAAACAAAAACCTCATGGAACAAGGATAGGTAAAAAACATACTCATGAGTAATTACTTGTAAATAATTCTATATTTAAAACCATTATGAGCTCTTAGACATGAAATAAAGAAAATATATAATCAGTGAAATTTAGGTTATAAACATAAACATGCAACAAATTGATGCAGAACTAAAAAAGGAATTCCAACTGGCTGGCCTGGACTAAATTCACAGAGAAGTTGGCATTTGGTCTGGAACCTGTATAATGAATTGGGTTTCCAAAATGGGAAAAGTGTTCCAAGAGCAGGAAAAAAAACTAAGCAAAAAGCACTAAGCAAAAGTTTGAATTACAGAATGAATTTTAAAATTGTGGGATGCAGTACTAAAGTACATGTGTTATAAACAAGAATGGAGAGAAATGAGGTCAGGCCATGTAGGACACAGGAAACCATTATAATTGATAGCAGGGCAGCACCATGATAACATCATGGCTATAAGAATGCAATTGCAGGAGAGGATGTGGAGAAAAAGAAACACTTTTACACTGATGGTGGGACTGTAAATTACTACAGCTACTATAGAAATCAGTATGGAGGTTCCTCAAAAGTCTAAGCATGGAAGCACCATATGACCCAGCTATACCACTCCTTGGCATTTATCCTGAAGAATCAAAGCCATACTACAAAGATACAGGCATACCCATGTTTATAGCATCACGATTCACAATTGCCAAACTATAGAACCAGCCTAGGTGTCCATCAACGGATGAATGGTTAAAGAAAATGTGGTATATATACACAGGAGTTTTATTCAGACATAAATAAAATGAAATTACATCATTCGCAGGAAGATGATGGAACTAGAAATTATTGTGTTAAGTGAGATAAGTCAAACTCAGAAGGTTAAGGGTTGGAGGTTTTCTCTCATATCTGGAAGCTAGAGTGGAAAAGGAAAAGAAAGATAGGGGTGGATCTCATGAAAACCAAAGGGAGATCAGTAGAGGAAAGGGACCAAGGAGTGGGAGGTGGGGACTGATGAGTAAGTGATACTGGCCAAATTTTTTTTATTATATTGTGTATTGTGTACATGTATGAATATGTAACAACAAATCTCATCCACTATAATCCACCAATAAAAAATGTAGGGAAAAAAAGGGAACGCAGCTGTAGACTCTAAAGGACTTGGGATCAACAGAGGGCTCCACAATACACTAGGAACAGGCTCTGAGTAAGAGGTTCTTAATTCCTCTGGGCCTCTTCAATAAAACAGAATAAACTATCAACTCCTTAATGTTATCATAAGGATTAAATAAGATACTTACTATGTAAAACTCATCAAGCACAGAGCTTGGCACATACTGAACACTCAATAAATATTAGCTGCTGTCATTTCTATTCCTTGAATTTGGCCAAAAGTAAGGCTTCTATTTGACCCCAGCTATTTTCCTTTAGTATTTGTAAAAATAGCCTCTCTGCCATACACATACACACACAATGGAATATTACTCAGTCATAAAAAAGGATAACTTTATGACATTTGCTAGTAAATGGATGGAATTAGAGACTATCATGCTAAATGAAATAAATCAATCACAAAAAAAACAAAGGGCAAATGTTTTCTCTGATATGTAGAAACTAACCCACAATAAGGTGAGGAGGAGAATAGAAGTTCAGTGTATTAGACAAAGGGGAATGAAGGGAAGGGAGGGGAGATAGGAATAGAAAAGACAGTGGGAAAAATCTGACATAGCCTTCTTATATACATATATAAATATGGTATAGTAAATCCCACCAGAAGACTGGTGCCCTAATTAGAATAAGATATATTCCATGCATGTATAATTTTATCAAAATAGACTCTACTTTCATGTATAACCAAAAAACTCCAATAAAAATAAATGTTTAAAATGTATGCTCTGGAGAGGGGGGGAAAAGGCCACAAACTATAAGATTCCAATTATAAAACATTTTCAAAATGACAAAATTATAGAGATGGAGGACAAATTAGTAGTTGCCAGAGATTAGGGATTCAGTGCAAGAGGGTGGAAGGGGAGAGGAAAATGTGACTATAAACTAGTAGCACTAAGGACATACTTGTAGTGATGAGCAGTTCTACTGTCTGGGTTGTAGTGTTGTTTACATGGTGTCTTTACATATGTGACAAAACTGCACAGAACTACACACACACATATTCAAATAAGTGCACATAAAATTGGTGAAGTCTGAAGAAGACCTGTAAATGGTACCAATGTCAATTTCCTAGTTTTGATATTGTACTATAGTTATGTAAGTTTGCTATTTTCAGAGGAAACTGGGTAAAGAGTACACAAGAGCTCTCTGTACTAGTTTTGCAACTTTCTATAAATCTATTATTATTTCAAAATTAAAAGTTAAAAGAAAGTGAAATGAAAAGGGTCAAATGCAGGGATCATCATACCTGAGCTGATGCAGCTCATGCTGCCAGGAGATGTTTTCCTGCCTGAGTTCTTCTTGCATAATCTGGAATGTTTTTGTCTTATCTTGATAGTCCTGAAGTTGAGCCTTCAGTGGACGTAACTCAATGATCTCTTGATTAATCTGTAAGTACTGCTGCTGCAGATTCTTCAATTCCTTCAGCTTTAACCAAAAGAAAAGATAACGGATGAATCATCACATCTCATTCACCAAGCTAAGTCATCAGTAGCTCTCCCACTAGTCAAGTCAGACACGGCAACAGACTACCAGCAACTGATACATCACCCACTAAAACATAACACTACAGCAAGAGTCTCTAAAATGGTGAAACATACACAGCCATGCTGTTGGAAATTACCCATGGACAGCCATCAAGGCTGGAGACCATTTCAGCAACTTCCTCTCCATACCCACCCTGCTCCCAGGATTCTAAGTTGATTCCAGAGTTATAACTCTGACATGGGATAGACTGAAGGGACCTACCACTTCACTGTGGGTGGTTACACCCTAGAACAAGAAGCGTAAAGACTGATTGGTTTTCCATATAGTCATGTGTCCTGGGTTAGGCTTCCAAACTTTCTTACATGGTCATCAATTTGAACTTGATTAGCTAATGTTAAGAAGGCGGTGCAGTCCAGTGGTTAAGAGCACTTAGGCTCTGCAGTTGCATGATCTACTATTTCTTGGATGTGTGACTATACAAATGCTCCTCATACCCTCCAAGTCGTAATTTCCCTCATCTGTTAAATGGAGATATAGTACTTTTTTCATTAGGATACGAACATCCAGTGAAAAAATTAACACACTTCACATGTAAAGTTAGTGATGATGATGATGATGACGATGAAGGACTTGGTTTTATATTCCAGGTGTATTTTCAAACTCTTTATCCCCCAATACTCATTAAGTCTTGATAGAAATAATGTTAGGACATCTGGGCAAAGACAAGAGCCTAGACACACACTTCTTTCACCTTCTCAGAAATGTGATTAGCATTACAATACAGGCATTTAAAAAAATTTTTTTAAAGCATACAACACAAGAACAAAAGACATCAGAAAAGTCAGCAGCAACACATTTTGGAAGCTGAAAAGCAGATGAATAAGTGGTAACTGACTTAGATCTGAGAAAGCTGAATCTTAAGCTGGCAGTAAGAAAAGCCAAGAACCAATACAACTTACTCTGCAGAATCTTCAAAGGCTCAGGAATTAACAGCACCAGGTACTTCTGGAAAAAAATGGTGATGGGGGTCGGAGGGAGGTGGTAGCTGAGATAAGGAGGATTAGATGAAAGCTGCTTAAGAAACAATTTCATCTCTAGATCCCCTCCTCAGTACCACTTTGTGTTGCTCTAATTGATGTTCCATGGTCCAGTTCCGTGGTTCCTTTATTCTCTGGAGAAGGTAAAGGAACCACGGAACTGGACCATGGAACATCAGGCAAGTGGCAAGTAAGAATACTATTCCAAAACAAGAATAATTAAATGTATGTTTTCTGAATGCTTATAGCCTTATCTCCAGCTCAGCTTGGAGAGTGCTTGTTTACTTCCATATAGAAAATGAGAAGCTCCCTCTCAAAAATCTGAGGTTGCCAGATACCAACTTGGGGAACTAACACAAATAGGCTCAACAAGATCACCCACACAATGAAACTCACAGGTGGTAAGCTCTACCTATAAGCTTTTTAGCCCCACGAAAACCAAAGTTTAACCTTCACCTAAAGAATGACTAACATTAAGGGATAAAAAAAATCTACCACAAGTTAATTTGGAAGAGATAGCAGGGGGAAAAAATGTAATGTACTGAAAGATTTAAGAGAGAATATTGAAGAGACATTGAGCAAAAATTAAAAATTATAAAGAAAAGCTCATTATAACAAAATGCCAAACAAAACAAAAACAACAAGCCAACCTATCACAATTATCATTGGAGAGATATGTTAGAAAATCTATGAGACAAAGACAAAAATTCCTTAGAAATTAAGAACATATTGGTAAAAGTGAAAAGTCAATCCTGAGGCCAAGCGATAAAGATGAAAAACATCTTCCCAAAGTGTAGCCAAACGACTGAGTTGGTTGATAAAGGAAAACAGACCCACCAAATCATGTTATCATAAAAGTTCATAACAGGGGATAGAGTAATAAGGGAAAGAAGAGAAAAAGGGATAAAGAGGAGTGGGAGGGAGGAAACAGATCATACACAAAAGGCCGGGAATTTGAATAGCTTTAGACTTGTAAACCATAGGCAACCAGCCAGCCTCTTCATGATTCTGAAGGGATGTTATTGTCAATCTAGAATTCTATACTCACCCAAACTATCAATCAGGTATGGCAGAAGAAAAAACATTTTCAATAAATTTACCTCCCATGTATCTTTTCTTAGGGAGACACAGAATGATTTCACAAAAGCAATGACACAAAACCAAGAAGAAATAGGATGTAAGAAACAGAAGATTTCCACAAGTGAATCACTTTGATAAGTACAAAGAAAACTAAGAAACAACAAAAACAAAAACACAGTTATAACGCTAGGAAAGACAGATGATGAGAAAAATATAAGTAATGCATGTTATTATTATTCTAATAGCATTTTTAGTCATAAAAATACTGAATTGATTTAACAGAAATTTAAGTTAAATTACAATAAGAAAATAGATAAGGAGTTGTATGTTGAAAAATGTGCACACATACTGCGGAAACAGAGGGAATAAAGAAAGTTAAAACTTGTTAGTGTGAAGAAAGTCGACAGTTAATGCAACAAATGAAAAATCAAAGTGCAATATAAGCACAATATTTAGACACTGAGGAAATGCCACAGAAATATGCTTAAAGGTTGAAAGCATACTGCTTCAGGAGAAGAAATGAGATTGGAGGTGCTACTCTTAGCTTTTCCTACCAAACAACTATAGAACTTAAGAGAACTTAGAAAAATTAAATATGTCCATGTGTAACTTTATTTTTAAACCAATAATTAAAAAAATATGCTTTGATTTAAAGCAAAAATTACTTATACATTCCATTCATTCCTCCAGTCTAGCTGGAGAAGTTTCAATGTTATCCTCAGAATAGATCAAATCATCAGAAAGCTGTGTGTCTATAAAATACCTTGTTATATTTATTAAAGAGAAGTAAAGGATGTTTCACAACTATACAGTGTTCTCTTTATAGGAAAACATTATATATTTCTTCAATACTTAAAGAGTAACTATAATTATCTAGAGCAGGTAAATTTTCTTTCTTCCTTTCTCCTAAAATAGGGATACTGAAATTTAAGCATATGGCTTTGAGTCTATCTTTCTCATCATTGCCAGAAAGCTCAGAGCCAATTAACAGCCCATCTTTCTAACAAAAGTTACAGGACATTGTGACTTCTTGGGGCACTGACCCAAGTTGAGTGGATTTAATCCTAGTTTAATCTTTCACTGTCCTATATTTTGTCTTCCTTCTAAATACCTTTTATCTTTAAAAAACCTGTTTATATCTTTCTATGCTTCCTCATGGCATTTTTAGAATGAGGTGAACAGAGATAAATAGATATAGGCACCTCCAAAGATGACTAAATGCATCATCAGAACATGGGAAAGTCTTAAGGAAGTGTGGATAGTTATGAAAACTGTAGAATCTCAAAAGTAGTTTATAATGTCCCAGTAGAATCCCTGGGGCTAATTTCTCACCATTTGAACCTTCATATTTCATTTGGGAAAACATCCCCCCTTGACTAATAAATAAATGAAAGAACCAAAGTAACTCAAACTTCTCTCAATCCTAAATCATCTCTGGGTGGTCCTGATATTGAGTGTGAGCAAAGGGGATAAACTGCTGACCTATGCTGAATGTTTAACACTGATTCAAATGAGATATCCTGGGCTGGGGGTGTAGCTCAGTAGCATAATGTGCACTCAACATGCATGAGGCCCCAGGTTTACTCACCAGCACCCCCCACCACCACCAAAAATCCATATTTATTCCACATTTAGTGATTGAGATGGATTCAGAATTAGATATTTGAAAAAGAAGAGTTGATGGACAGTTAGTTAATACATTCTGAAAGTATACAGCAAGTCCTCCAGACTGCAGCTGACCATGAATGAAGTGTCACTAAGTCTGACTGTCAAGGCCTTTATGTAATTTATAAACCTACCTGGGCTTTATGATTCTCTCATGGCAGATATAAAGGTGTCCAAGTTCTTAAAACTTTCCCTAACTTCCTTAAATAAGAGTTTACACAACAGAAAAAAACAATGGTGTTTTCAGTAAGAAGCACAAATACAGAAAGAAGATAACTATTAATTGTTGATTATCCTCTGTTTGCTTAGCCCTGTGCTAAATACCATAAGATGTACAAACATGTATAAGATGTGACATTTTCAAGATTTGCAACCTAGTTGAATAAATAATAGTATATATAAATTAAACACACATCATACATACACTCAAAAATCAAGGCAATGAAGGACAAATAATAAGAAAAGTACTAGGAAGGTACAAAGGAAGTAACAATCAAGCAATTGAGAAATGTAAGCAGAGAATTTGAGCTCTCGATGACTTTTAAATAATGGAAAGTACTTACCCAGAAAAGGAAAGAAATTAGGATAATTTGGCTGAGAGGATGATAATATGGGTAGTAGGAAGTACCAGATATAATCACTGTATACTGAGAAGGTCAGTTTAGCTGGGATGAATAGTATGAGCAGGGACCAGTAAAAGGGAAGATGGAAACAAAGATATAGACAACAAATTATAAGGTCTTAAATGCCAGACTCAGGTGTTTGAATCCAAAACCTATTCTAGAGATAGTATAACTTTTAAAGGTTTTTAAGTAGGGTATTAACAATACAGTAGAGTTTCAGAAATTCATCCAGGAATGGTAATTGCCTTGTGCTACATTTATAACCTACATTATAATCTAGATGCCCTTCAATAGATGAATGGATAAAAAAAATGTGGCATTTGTACACAATGGAGTATTACTCTGCACTAAAAAATGACAAAATCATGGAATTTGCAGGGAAATGGATGGCACTAGAGCAGATTATGCTAAGTGAAGCTAGCCAATCCCTAAAAAACAAATGCCAAATGTCATCTTTGATATAAGGAGAGCAACTAAGAACAGAATAGGGGGGAAGAGCATGAGAAGAAGATCACCATTAAACAGGGACGAGAGGGGGGAGGGAAAGAGAGATAGAAGGGAAATTGCATGGTAAAGGAAGGAGACCCTCATTGTTATACAAAATTACATATAAGAGGAAGTTTTGGGAAAGGGGAAAAAAAACAAGAGAGAGAAATGAAGTACAGTAGATGGGGTAGAGAGAGAAGATGGGAGGGGAGGGGTGGGGAGGGGGATAGTAGAGGATAGGAAAGGCAATAGAACACTACAGACACTAGTATGGCAGTATGTAAAAAAGTGGATGTGTAACCGATGTGAATCTGCAATATGTATACGGGGTAAAAATGGGAGTTCATAATCTGCTTGAATCAAATGTATGAAATATGATATGTCAAGAGCTTTGTAATGTTTTGAACAACTAATAATTTAAAATAAATAAATAAATAAATAACCTAGAGCTGTGACAAACCAAAACCAAAATTATTACAATAGTTTAAGGATAAGATCTAGAAGCTTATCCTAGAATATTAAAGATGGAAAGGAAAGACATTTGGGGGCACATTCTGAATAAAGCAATGACCAGACCTTGATAGTTAAATGAAATAAAATCATAGACAGCTATTAAGTCTAAGAGAACAGAAGAATATTAGTTTGAGATATAGAGACAAGGAAATAACTATTATCAATATCCAGCAAACAAAAATATAGAACAGGCATCAAGAGACAAAGTTTAGCACTTAGTATTTACAATAGATAAGACTAGTAAAGTGATTCACTGAATGAAACAGTTAATTCAGAATCTATCCTAACAGCTCCAGGAAAAATGTTATGACTTAGAAGATAATCAATATGGGCACAGCTTGGAGGTATATACTAGTGTCTTGGTGAAGAGGAGCTTTTGCATTTGTGTTCTGAAAGGAATATAAAATGCCAAGTTCCAAGGACAAAGTCAGCTGAGTGTTTTCAAAATATAAACAAGTAAAACTGTGTTGATGTCAAAGCCACAACTGAAAAAGGGTGCTTTGTCCAAATTATAAAAGAGAAAAGGTTGTTTATAAAAATTGGATATTAAGTATAATAGGAATGAACACAATACCTACAAAGAAAAGAAAAAAAAATTGCCTAAAACTACAGTTAGGGTAAACCATCTGAAACTTTCACTAGGGCCAATTTAAAAACTAGAATTTTCAGATTCTGGCATGGGTCACATTTGAAAACGGAAAATCTGAACTTATTAATAAGCTCAATGTATTTCCTGTTTGGCCTATTATCCTGGAAGCACATGGTCTTAATCAAGTTAACAGATTGTCATGAAACTGAAGATAGGAATGCCACAAGTAGAATCCCCTGAGAACCTTGCTTGCTTCTGATGATTCCAGATTTTTGCCTCTGAATCTTGATGACCTAGAACTTTTCAGGAAACACACACACACACACAAACCCACACATGCACACCTGGATAAACTCTTGGCTTTTAAGAAAAAGAACAAAATTTCAACAAATTCTCCTTGGCTTTGTCACTGAACACAGTTGAGTATTAAGATAAAATGGCTAATGGTTCAGCTTATAAATAATCCTTCACTAAAAAAAATCATTAAACTAAATATTCTGTATTTGACTTTTTTTCTTAATGAATTTGGGTTGGTTTCTTTTCTTTTTATACTGGGGATTGAACCGATAGGTACTTTACCAGTAAGCTACATCCCCAGCCCTTTTTTAAAAAAAAATTTTTGTGACAGGGTCTCACTAAATTGCTGAGGTGTCCTAGAACTTGAAATCCTCTTGCTTCAGGTTCTCAAGTCACTGGGATTACAAGACCTGCTCTACCGGAGCCTGGCTGGTTTACATTTTGGGGAGGAGCTGAGTCCTTTCTACCCTAAATGTTACCAGATGATCTACTGTTAAATGTCACTATAAGATGACACTAAGTGATCCCTATTCTTTCTTTCAATTAAACTAGGACAAATTCTGGAAATGTTTGTGTTTCTGCATGTATATATGAAATATGTAAAACAACTCTTATCTCATGGTCCTTTTAAAACCAGTGGAGAATTTTGTGCAAAGAAAAATTTTGATTTTTTTTAAAAAGGCAATGGAAATAGTATAATATTTTTGCATTTCTCTAAGACCAAACAGAACATGTGGAACATATAACACTGTCTTTGAGTGTCTAGATAATACATATATGTTTATCCTTTCCTATAGAAAGAAAAATAGGGCCTGGGGTTGTGGCTCAGTGGTAGGGTACTTGCCTAGCAGGTATGAGGCACTGGGTTTGATTCTCAGCACTGTATATAAATAAATAAATAAATAAAAAGATCCATCAACAATCAAGAAAATTTAAAAAAAAAAAAGAAATAAAAATCAATTTAAAGAAAGGTTCAGAAACTCTCAGATCTGAAAGAGGGAACTAGATACTCACTAGTCGGTCTCTGTCATTTTGGAGTGAAGACATTGCTTTTTTCAAACTTTGTACTTCAGCGGGGCTGGAGACAGGATGGGCTGCAGACTTCTGCTTCCCATCCTCTGACTTTCGGAATTTCTCCAGCTCATTCCACAGGTGATCTCTCTCATTCTGTAGACTGGCCATAGTCTTGGAAAAGGACTGCACCTGGTTGTAAGAATCTTCTAGTTGTGAGGATAATTGAATCAGTTGTTCATCTTTGGATATGAGCTGTTGGTTAAGTTTCTCAAGGCGAGACAAGCCGTTCTCTTCAGTGCTGTTCAAGTGAAAGCCTGTTTGAGAAAGAAGCGCATCGCTCTCTCTGTGTAGGAGGCCCATTTGCTCTCTTAGTTGGGCCACCTCCTTCCGGCTGGCATCATATTTCCTTTTCAGTTCATCAAGCTCCTCGTTGGCATGATCTCTACTATCTTGCAAGGAATTCATAGACCTTCCAAAAGACTGAATTTGTGCTGTGAGATCTTTATTTTCTTTGGTGACCACGAGTAATTTCTGTTCCATCTCCATCAGATCTCTTGCTAACTCCGCCACCCTCTCTTCTGCTGTTTCAGTTTCATTTCGCATTATCCCCGCATCATGATGAAGGTGCTTTAATTCCTTTTTCAGTTTATCTTCAATTTCGCCTACCTTCCTGGTAGCTTCCTTTTGAACACGAACCAATTCCTCTTCCAATTCTGTAATTCTCTTCTGAGAGGAGGAAAGTATTGCACTTAACCTCTGAACCTCCTCCTCTTTTACTTTTAATTGGGTGTGGTACATACCTAAAGTACCTTCTTCTTGCAAGGTTGTCACTTGCCTATTTAGTTGGGATATGGATACTTTCAAGCTTTCAATCTCTTTATATAAACTTTGTTTCTCCTCTTGGAGGGCAGCAGAGGACCTCTGCAGACCCTCCTTTGTTTTCTCGGACTCCTTTAGCTTTTCTTCTAACTTAGCACACTCATTTTTCAGCTCCTTATTTTGCTGATGTTGAACTTCAAGGAGTTGCTTTTGCTGAGAGTCTTTTATTGATATCACCTGGTTCAGGTCTTCCCTATACTGGATCAGTTCTGCATCCAGCTTGGCATTCTCAGAATTGAGATCATCCATATGACTTCTTAAGCCTCGAATTTCTTCCTTAAGCTTATTATTCTCAGCAGCAGCTTCCTGGATGAGTTGGTCTTTTTCCAAGATTATAGAGAGATGTCGCTCTTCCAGCTGTTGATAGTCACTTACTATGCGGTCTCGGTCATTCTGAAGTGAAGACATGGATTTAACAAAGGAATCCAATTGAGCTTTCTGCTGAGTGTTTTCCTTTTTGATGGTTTTCAATGTTTCCATAAGCTGATTGGTTTTGTCAACAGCTTTTTTGTTTTCTTCTTCTAAGACGATATTCTCCTCTTCCTCTTGGGACAGCAGGTTTTCCAGTTCTTTAATTTCTTTATCATGCTGCTGATGCAATTCAGCAATAGCTATTTGGACTGCCTCTTCCTTGCCAGAAAGCAGGCTTTCAATCTTCTGATCCTTCATATTTATTTCTTCATGCAGCCTGCTGGTCAGTTCTTGAGAGGCCTGGAGATCAGTTTCTACTTGTTCATACTTGAACTTACAATTTTGGATATCAGCTTCTTGTTGTTTTATGATCCCTTCCAGAGTTTCTTTATGTTCCTTACATTTTTCTAAAGAGTTATTTAAATCAGTTGACTGGTCTCTGAAAATCTTAAGTTCTGATTCCAACTTAGTTAATTCATTCTGAGAATTGTAGTATAGGTGCCGAGTCTCTTCAAGCTGTGACAAAAGTTCTTTGTTTTCCCCCTGTAGAGCCTCACAGACCTTCTGTTGATGCTGAACCTCTGTCTGGGCCTTGGATTCCCAAATCTGCTTGTCATGTTCAAGCCTTAAAAAAAAAAGAGGGGGGCGGTCATTAACTAAAGAGTTCAAGAAATATTGTACCTAAGGAATAAATACTGTAATGCAACTTGTACTCAACAAATCTACAAATGAATCCATATTCATAAATGACAGTGTTAAACTTTTTAATGAGATATTATCTGTATGCTTGTCTGTTCAATGTAGTAAACATATTATCAACCTAAGGATTCACAGATTTAAATCATAAACTCCAAAATATATTGCTTCTTTTAGTGATATGGTTTTGGACACTGAGAAAAGTAACATTTTCTCCCTGTATTTTTTTTTTCTATTTTGCTCCAGACAAGTTAATGTTCGGTCTTTTTAATGAATAATTTTGGTATAAGAGGTGGAAAACAGAAGGATCCTATTAGAAGTAGAAGAGTACAAATGGTGGGGAACATTGTTATTTCTTGAGCCTGAAAAATGATATCATAAATTTGGAGGTTGAGGAAATTAATTCTAATAGCCAAATAAATTGATGTGGACTATGAGGAAGAGAAAAGAAAATAATTTGGGAGTCAACTGTGGTACAAATCCAGAGAAGGGTACTTTGGTAGTCAAGAAATCCAGAAATGGAAATAAAAAGAATGAGAAACCCAAGAGACCTCTCATTAGAGAGGAAGATGAATGTTTTCATGTTGTAGTAAGAAGCTCCTACAAACATACAAAAGTCAGAAGTGAGAGAGAATGTACCTTCAAAGGGAATTTAACAAGTAATTCCATAATCCTAAAGGGAATAGGAATAATCTAGAGACTTTCTTTGCCCTCAATTACCTCAGAAAGAAAAAAAAAATTATTAAGCATTTACCTGGAAATGTTGATCTTCAATTCCTCCATATGGATGGACATCTGTCTGAGCTGGTCTCTTAGAACACTGCAGTTTTCCTCTTTGAGTCTAATTTCTTCTTCTTTGGTTTGAATGGCATCAACAAACTTCCTCTCCCATTTCTTGGCTTCATCTATCACCCTGTCCCGATCATCCTGGAGGGAAGACATACTCTTAGTGAAGGCTGCGAGCTGGGCCACAGTACTGTCCAAGTTCTCCTGCAGTTGCTTCAGTTCCTTGTCTTTCTTGTTCAAAGTCATCTGAATCTCTCCAAGAGTCTCTTCCAAGTGAACTTTTTCTCTATGTAAATTATCCAGTTTCTCTTGCATATTCTTCTTCTCTTTCAGGTGTTTCTCTTCGGCCTGCTCCAGTCTTCGCTCAAGATCTTCATCCTTTTGTTTCATTTGGCTTTTCACTGATTCCTTATTTGACTGAAGTTCTTTTTTCAGCTTGAGATTGTCTGCTAGGACTCTTGCTGCTTCACTTTGCGTGTCATCCAGCAGCACTTTGAAGCTAGCTAATTCTGCTTGTGCCTTTTGGCGGTGTTCAACTGCTTGTGCCAAATTTTCTTTGGTTATTTCCAAATCCTTTTGAGATTCAGTCTGAACAAATTCTAGAGCCTTAACAGTTCTCTCCAGAGCACTAATCTTCTCTTGATATCGGATGCAGTCTTTCTGCAGCTGCTTTAGTTCTTGTTGTTTTCCTTTCAACAGCTCCTGAAGTTCCTTTGCATGGCTTTTATTGCTAGGTCCTTTCTGAGCACTTTGTATTTTCTCTAAATATTCCTTTCGTATTTCTGATTCTACCTTCGTTTTCTCCTTGACCAACTGTTGTTTTTCCTCTTCCAATTCACTCACACACCTTTTAAGGTTCTGCATTTCAGATTCCAGTTGCTCATTTTTTATTTGGGCATCTGTAACATCCTGATAGTAATTCCCAATGCTTCCATTAAGTTCTGCCAATTGATTCATGAGCCTCTCTTCTAAGTCATCTTTCTCTTCTTCTGCTGTCTCCTTTAGTTTGGTAACTCTGGAGAGGTCTTCTTGGATTTGCTGGTTTAACAGGTTTATTTTGGTTACTTCTTCCTGAAGCAGTTTTAGTTCGCTATCCTTTGCTGATATTTGACTCAGTAAGGCATTTTTCTCATCTTCCAGAGACTGACTAAGTTCTTTGCCTTTCTGTTTTTCTTCCTCTAATTCAGCAATTCTTTCTTTAAACTGATCAAGTTGCTGTAGATAGTTATTAATCTCATCATGGGAACTAAAATTCTCACCAATGTCCGGTTTGGCACTGTTCTCTGATAGAACAGCTTCGGCGCCTTCAGGCTCTGTGCTCATACTTGGAGAGTCTTGCCCTTGATCCTCACCTGGTACAGGCTGTGTTGGCCCTTCAGTGATATCCTGTTGGTTTTCCGGTTTCTCAGTGGCCTCAAGGCTAGCTTGTTTAGATACATTATCTTCTACCTGATGTTTTAAATCTTGAACCTCTACACTTAAACTGTCTTTCTCAGCCATTAAAGCCTCAAACTCCTTTGAAAGGGTATTATACTCTGTTTTGACCCTTTCTAGTTCCTCCTTCATGTTGGAATTAGAAGCAAGAAGTGCTTCCATGCATTCTTTTGCTGTATCTCCTGCAGGGTGCGCTTCTGCTCGAAGCCGGTCATTCTCTTCTTCTAGCTCTATGATTTTCAGTTGTTTAGATTTAGCAAACTTTCTCATTTTTTCCTTCATTCCCTCCATTTCTTGTTCAGCTTCTTGCAACTGCTTTTCTGTCTCTTTCTTATTGGCTTCTAAGCTTCTCAATTTGCCATACAGTTCTTGCTTTTCGTGCCTCACGGTTTCTACTACATGCTGAATCCTTTCTGCTTCATTACTAACATTCTCATAGGACTGCAGAAGAATCTCATACTCTTTCTGTAATTCTTTGTGTTTCTCTTGCCATTCTGTGCTTTCTGCAATCTTAGAGCACTTTAGAGATTCAATTTCCTTCGCTAAGTTTTCCTTCTCTTCAGTAAGACCCTCTAGAGCTAGTTTCAGACTTTCACAAGAGCCACTGAGATTTTGATTTTCTAGTAAGGATCTATCCATTTCTGTAATGAGTCTGTCTCTTTCTTCCTGAAGAAGAGCTAACTTTCCTAAGAGTGTATCTTTTTCTTTATTTTGAGCAGAAAGTTGGCTTTCCACATCTGCCAGAGACTTGGTGAGGCGTTCGATGGTATCTCTGGCCAAAGACAACTCTTCTTGGAGACTTCTGTTTTCTTTGAGTGCTTCTTTTCGGGAAATAAGTGCAGCTTGCAGTTTCCTTTGTATTAGTTGCTTTGTTTTATTTTCTTCTACAAAGTCTTCTGATTTCTGCTTCATTTCACAAATTTCCACCTGTAACTGCTTTAACCTCCCTTCATGCTCTTTGGCTTGCATTTCCAACTGTGTATGCAGAGCCTTAATTAAGTCCTCCTGTTCTATCATTTCTGTCTGTACTTTAGTAAGGTTTTTTTCTTTCTCGCTCAGCTGTCCAGAGAGGTGGCTAACCTCTTCTTCCTTTTGGCTAATGAGATTTTGGAGTTCATCTAGTTTGGGCTGTAATGCTCTCAGGTGTTCTAGGCCAGCAATTTCTAGTTGACTGCTTTCCAATTTCTGCCTCAGGGTTTCTGTGTGGGCTTCAGTTTCATGGGATACTTCCTTCAGACTCCGGATTTCGAAACCCTGTTTGTTTATTTGCTCTTTTAACTGAAATACTTCTTCTGACTTTTTAGTAAGCTCACTTGTTGTAGAACTTACTTTCAATTTTAACTCTTCTTTCTCAGCTTCTATTTCTTTCAGATAAGCCTTAATTTGGGCAATAGAAGTATGGCCCTGTAGAGTATTTGCATCTCCGTGTTGAGAAACTAAGTGTGGGCACAAGTCAGACTCTAAAGTAGCTTGAGTGGGATGCTGTTCTGTGGCTTTGAATAAACCTTGAGTAGGATAGTGCAGTTCCTGCTGGTCAGTGCCTGGAAGTTTTCTGTCTATGGACTCCCTTAGTTGAATTTGGAGCTGCCTTAGCTGGTCTTCAATGTCCTCATTTTCCTTGCTTTGCATATCAAACTGTTCTTGCAAGTGATTATAGTCATCTTTCTGTTGCTTTAGCTCCTCCCTATGTTGTCTTTCCTTCTCCTGTGCCTTTTTAAGAATTGCCTTACGTGAGGTTAAGACTTCCTGAAGCTTCTTTTGAAGTTGCTCCTTTTCTTTTTCAAGTTCCAGTATCTTTTCTTCCAGTTCAGGTTTCCAATGTTCTCCACTACCTGCGGCAGGTGGACTGCTCACCACTGTTCCTTTTACAGGTGTGGTACAGCCTCCATCACCTGCATCCTTGGCCCCTGTGGTTAACTTCTGGATAACTGCTTGATTTTCAATAATTTCTGCTTGGAGCAAATCTATTTGGTTTGCTTTATCTTGCAAGTTTAGATTCATCTGTTGGACTACAGCCTGTAATTGTGCTTCTGCTGCCATCTTTTCTTCCAAATCCTTCCTTACATGCTGTAGTTCCATTTCTTTTTCAGAAATTGTCTGTTTCAAATAAATTTCTATTTCTTGGCATTTAGAAGTCACACATTTTTCTGAGTCTTCTTTGTTCTCCTTGTCTTCTTCCATTTCCCTTCTCTCACTCTCACTGAGTGGAATCTCTTTCCTAGATTCATCTCTCACTTTGGCCAATTCCTCTTCTAATGTACTGACTCTTTGTAGAAGTTCCTTTCTGTTAATAAGAGCTGCCTGTAGCTTTCTCTTCCTCTGCTCACTTTCCTTCTTTAGGCGGTCTAATTCATGCTGTAGTTCTTCTTTATTTATTAGCCCTGCTGGGCTTGACTCATCATAATTATGTTTAAGGCCAGAAATAACTTCATTATCTTCTTCAACTTGTTCTTTTTTTGCTTCTTCAGCTCTGGATAATAAATTCAGCTGTTCTTTGAGAGTCTTAATTTCAACTCCAAGAGAAAACTTCTCTTCATTCAGCTGAACCATTTTCTCTGTCATGCTGAAGCTGATTTCTGTCACTTGCTGATCCTTCTCTTCAATGGTTTGCTGGAGGGTTTCCACGTCTCTCTTTTTCTCCAGTAAGAGTTGATCCATTTTTGCTATTTCAAGTTCCTTTTGTGACAGAGCCTGTGACAGTTCTTCCATCTTACTGGAGATGCCCCTCACACGTTCTGCCCCCTCAAGCACCTCACTTTCCTTCTTCTGCAGCTGACTTTGCAAGCTTTTCATCAGTGTACTCTGCTCAGAAAACTGAAGCTGCACATCATCCAGTTCTTTCTGTAAAGCTTCAATTTTCACATCTTTGGATTTGGCTTCTATGTTAAGACTGTGGATCTGTTCAGTGAACAGGTTGTGCTGAGTTGTCTGACTTTCATAGTCAAGTCGTCTTTGTTTTTCTGCTTCTGCAAGGTTGGTTTCCAGTTGTTTCACCTGAGCCCTCAGCTCTGCTAAGACATTAAGCTCCTTCACCTGAGTAAGAAGTTGGTCTCTTTCTTCAGACAAAGCAGTGAGTGCACTGCTGGTGTCTTCAGCATTCTTTTTAAACTCCTCAATCAGTTGGGTTAGGCTGCTGATTTCCTGAGCTTTCTCATCTAAATTTTTCTCGTATATTTCTTCTGCTTTATGAAAGCTTGTCTCAATCTCCAAAATTTGACTTTTTAGCCTTTCTATCTCATCGTGGTGACACTGACCCACATCTGACACAGCAGAAGGGGATTTATCAGCATCACCCTGCTCTGATGATTTAATTTCTATTCCAGTGTCATTTAAAGATATTTCCTCAGATGTTGTATTTTGAAGTTCAGTGCTCGCCTCTTCTTCTTTTTCAACTACTGGAACACTGCTCTCTTCATCTGGCACTAAGGGAAAATTTTGTGCTGTATTTTCAAGACATACTTGCATTCTAACTGGAGGTACTCCCTCACCCTCCATCTGTTGCACTTCTTTCTGGTCAGGGATCTCAGGGTCCCCCTCAGCCCTTTTGCCCTGGAGCTGAGATTTAAGAAATGCAATTTCCTCTTGAGCTTCTTTCATTTCCAACAATAAAACTGATAATTCTTTATGGTTCTGAGAAAATGTGTTCTCTAGAACATCTTGTCCACTTTCCTCGGTAGAAGCGCTGCTCTTCTTTGATATGGTAATATCAACCATGCTGATCTATTAAAAATAAAACAAAACAAAAAAAGAAAGATTAGGAAAGAACAGGCCTTAATCAAATGTTTTACAATATTTTTTAAAATAGCATAAGTAAAAAGTGATATTTGGTGCATTTTTCAAAGCCTAAAACTTTTTGATCCCAACCACCTTTGTACCATAAAACTGCTAAATTTTTTATAAACCAGTTTGTATCTCCAATTGAATGAAAAGGGGAATTCTGTCAATCCCATACTGAGGTTGAGATCTAGTCATAAGACCTAAGGAAACTTGGAATTCACTTTCTGGATATTACTTTTTTGGAAAACTTTTTTCTTTAGATTAAAACTCCTTATTAGTTTACTCATGAACTGCTTAAAAATAAAAAGGGAAACAGAAATAAGTTAAATCTTCATTTCATCCCATATCACAAGAGGAAGTTATGGGATTCCTTTTCCTTAATTAGTCACTGAAATAAGGAAAATGAAATATTAGATAAAATTCCTATTAACTGACAGGTAGATTTTTAAACAAATAGATTCAGATAAACTGCCAGAATCAAATCATCAAAAATCAGCTCTGCTGGCACTTGGGCATGAAATTATGGACTTATTGGGCAAATAACCAAATTATATAAACATTACTGTGTTAGGCTTTTCAACCCATAAATATTATTTCTAAAATTATTTTGTTGAGAAAGAAAAATGAGTGAATCTCAAGACAGATTTAATCAGCATTTTATTAAAAGGACTTCGGTGCAGGGCACACAATAAAATCTCCACCTCTGCCAATAACAACATTTTTCCCTTAAGGAAAAGTATGCCAACTTGATGGGAAAATAAACATAAAAAAATAAAGCACGTAACTGTTGAATAATGCAATGGCCAACAAGCTCTGCAGCCCAACTGGCTGGGTTTACATCTTAGCTCTGCCACTTTTACTAACAGTAGCTGGCAAACAGTAAGTACTCAATGAACATTAACTATCATCTTGACATCATTCTCAGTTACTGAGTAAGAAAAAGAGATTCAATCTTCTGAATTATTCATTAATTTAAGAAAAGTTATATCATCATTTTTTCATGAAAACTATTTTAATAATTTAAAATTTATTTTTTACTTTCTTCATTACCTATATCAGACTTAAATTTCTAGAGATCAAAACTGAACGCAATTATTTAGCACAGGGGAAAAGTTTCTCTAAATCAACAGAATGATATTAAGCAGTCATATATTTCTTATAATAACTTTCAGGTTATAAAAAGCTCCATTTTCCAAAGGTGCCCTGCCAACTGGGGGAAGGATGGGGAACCTAAGAGATTTTATTTAATCTCCACTGAGAAACTTTTCTGAGATTGACAAAGAAAAAGCAATGGCTACTATAGTTGTATTGCTTTAGGACAAAGAATTCCAAATCTTCTCATGTACATGAGTACATGAGAAATTCTAACCATTGTGAATCTCTGAAACAGACCTCACCCCATGTAATTCTCTGTTGACACTACAAAGATTTGAAGCTATCTCCTCTTAACTTAGTTCTTATTCTGGTTATACTAAGAATGCACCACTTACCTCACGGACTTCACTGTCTGCCTCCTCAGTTTTATTCTGAGTCTTCAGAAGAGTAATCTGAGAAGACAGTTTTTCTGCAAGTCACAAAATAAAATCTTTAGAAAATATATGGAGTGTTTGAGAAAACAGAGACACAATCACATTTGAGATGCATGAAATAGATTATGAAGAAAAATAAAATAGTTCTGGGGAGATGAATAACTTGCTTTATTAAAATAAAGAAGAAGCAAAAGAATGAGATAAAACAGAGAATAGAGCTAGGTGATGATAATGAGCCTGCACGAAGCATACTAAGTAGTGGAAGGCTTAAAAGAAGGAGGGCACCAGGGCATGGGAGATGAAGCAGTTATTTCTATAGCATAATCTGGAGCTCTGAGGCAATACATTTGCCTTAATTTATCCATAATTCTATTGTGTTCAAATATATGTTTTGTATTAATTATAATGTCCTCAGTATTCTTTTTTATACATTCATCAAGACTTTAAATTTTTGCACTAAATGGAAGCTATCCAATCTCCTGAACAGTCAAATGAGGAAACAAAGAAATAACATGATGTGAAGAGGTTAAATGGCTAGTTTACAGAGAGCTGGGATCAGAATATAGGTACTAGCAATGTGTACATCTTAACAAAAGTAGTAATACCTTGGAAAAGAAAAATATTGTGCAGTGATATTAATAACTTATTAATAATAAGCATACTTTTTACACAACATCCAAATGTTTTAACATTTGGGTGCTCATCCTTTGACTCCGCTTATTCTCCAATCTTCTCTTGTACTACTGCCCCTTTTCTGTTCACTATACTTCAAAAACACTGGCCTTCTTTCTGTCTGCAAAATGTCAAGTTCATCCACACCTCAGGACATTTGCACAGCTCTTTCTTTTCTGCTCAAAATGTTCTTTGCTTAGCTCTTTGCATGGCTGACTCCTTTAATTGTTCAGGTTTCAAGTCCCCAGAAAGGCTGACCCTGATCTCTCTAATTCTGCCTTGTCCCAGGGATGCTTGCAGTGTCCTGTATAATTTTTATTCTAATACTTATTACTCTCTGAAATGGTCTCAAACACATTTCCAACCTGTCTCCTCCTTTAATATGATCACAGGTATATCCTTAGCAACTAGAATAGTTCCTGGCACACAGGAAAGGTACCACAGACATTGGCTATATGAATGAAGGCAAGAATATTTATGAAGCAAATGAACCTACAGTATATTCAGACACTTTACAATTTTATTTGAGTGGGGGTACAATGATAGAATTGGCAGTACAAAAGTGAATTGAATATAACATGACACATAAAGCAAAGATAACCTATGAGAGCAGACACAAAAGCCACTACCCAATGCCTTAAGGCTAATGATCCCTTCAGGAAAGAGAATGGAACTCACACCATACCTCCAAACCATGTGGAAGCCACATGAACAGGGTAGGGACTGTTAGCAAAACTGTAAAATAAGCATCATGATTAAGGTCTCAAAGAAGTACTTTGAGTGGGTTAAATAAGTGAGCTGAACATGTGGCTTTCTTTGCTTATGGTGGGAATAGGTTAATCAGGGAGCATAATCTTCAGTTTAGGGCTAAGTGGAAAATACAAAATGGCTATATTGAATATATTGACTCTAGAGTTTAATAAGTTTTACAAACTTTACTTGGTATTCATTCTTACTCCTAGAATATAAAGCTTAGTAGTCAGTTATTCTAGGATAAATTAGATCAGCAAAGCATTAATATTTATATGCTACTAATCCCATAAGGTCCTTGTGAAGCAGTCAAGTGGAAGAAATGATATGTCTTCATTCTTACTAACTGTTCACATAAAGTTCCATATAATAAAGTGCTAACAAGTTCAGTACAACCCAAGAAAACTATTCAGCAGCCACTGTTTGCTGATACTCTACTAGTTTTGGGTAAAGAAAAGATTTTTTAAAAATTTAAGAATTGCCTCTTCCCTTAAAGAGCTCATAATTTATACTTTGAAGAGCTTATAATGTAATAAAAAGACATGCATATAAATAGATAATTCTAATATAACATTAAAAGTATGCAAAGATATTACGGAAGCATAAAAATACATTTAACCCAGGAAAAGGGCTAAATTGCTGAAAAACAATGCTCAGGCTGAGACTGAAGTTAACCAGATAAAGAAAGGGGTCAGATTCTAAGCAAAGTATGGCATGAGCAAAAATCAGAATGGAGTATACCTTTAAACTTTTATTGATAATGATTGTTAACTTATTCCACAAATTTATTACTAAGAATGTCCTTCCTTTCCTCATTTTCCCTATTTAAAAATTCACTATCTTATTAAGGTTCTGTTCATTCATATACCCTAGAAGATATCCTGACTATTTCCAAATGAATTTAAATTATATAGAAATTCCACAGTATTTATGGCTCATAGTGCAAACTTTGTACAATCACTGGCTCTATGCTCTAATTATTCAGTGTGTATTAATTTTAACTTTGAAAACTATCAGCTGTGCTAAAATCTTTACTATCATAGAATCAGAAAATCTACATGTTACACATGTATAGTAGTAAGAATAGAGGCACTTGAGAGATAAGGAGAGAGAATTATGGTTTTTATTTAATACATACCATTCTCAGCTTTCAGCTCCTCCAGCTCTATAGAACTAAGGAGTAAGGCTCCCTTTTCATTCTCTAGCTCTACCACTCTCTTCTGCAAAGAGGCAATAGTCTCCTCAGTGACTGCCTAAATTGTGGAAAGACAACAAGTTAATGATTCTCCAATAAAAAACACTTACACTAATGCCCAGCTAACCTCCAGCATTTTTGTCTTCTAAAAACTCTCCAACCATGGCAATATTTTAAAAATAGCATCTACTTCTCTGCCTAGGTAATCTTTGAAAGAATGTTTCTCTACCTGAAGATAGAGAAATAAAATATTTCACACCAACTTTCAGTTTATTGGTTTTCTGAATGTAAGACTGAAGCCTGAATTACAAAGATAGAAATCTCAAGTTTATTGTGTAGAAAGAACATTTTTAGGTTTGTGAGTAACAGTGTAAGAGTAGATTAATGTCACCAAGCAACAAGGCCTCTCTCCTAGAGAAGAACGAACATGAAGAAGGAAACCTCAAAAAGGAAACAGAGGGAAAAGGAACATATGCTTCTTAAGAAAGGAAGAAGAACCTTCATTCCTTTTTGGTTTGGTTTTGTTTTTCATATACAATAAAATTCTCCTGTGCTTAATTTATGAATCCAGAATGTTAGGTTTTCCCAATGACAAGCATATAACTAAATATGCTACATCTTTAGCTTTATATCTCTCTAAGGGGATTACTCTATGCAATTTTTCACAGAATTGTGAAATTTTTAAGCCATAAGAGTTTTTATGGCATACCTGACTCCAAACGTTCATTTGATGACTAAAAAATAGCAAGAAATGAGCTTAGGGTTTTTTATGGCTTTAACACAGAAGTTCCCAGTTTGTATTACATAAGGCATGTAAAACTCTAATAGAATAGCCAGGGGTATTTATGGCTTGAAGGATAAGAAGAAATACATTGTTGCAGACACACTGCCAGAATATATTTTTGGCACATCAGGGAAATTAGACAGAAGAAAAAGACTATTTGCAAGAAGGAGCTCTAAATTCTATGTACAAATTTAGTTCAAATTTCTGACTGAACAATGAACAGTGTATTTTCAGGACTGACTCAAAGCAGTCAGCTAAGGCAAAAAAACTAAACTGAGTTTTTAGTGGCTTTTTATCACAGGTCAGAGCTTGTAATATGAGTCCAGGTTGCTGGATGATAAAAAAATAATAAAAAATCTTCAGAATTTTATAAATAGCAGAATAGACTCTTAAGAACAAAACATATCCAGGATTCTATATAAAATCACTCATCAAAAAAAAAAAAAAAAAAAAAACAACAACAAATAAAAGGAAAATGTGACTCATTCTCAAGAAAAAACAATCAACAGAGACTAAACACAAAATAATGTAGACTTTGTAGTTATCAAATAAGGATTTTAAAGAAGCTATACTTAGGGCATAAATTAATATATTCATATTGGGGCTGGGGTTGTAGCTCAGTGGTAGAGTACTTGCCTAGCGTTTTTGAGGCACTGGGTTCGATTCTCAGCACCACATACAAATAAATAAAATAAAGGTCCAACAACAAGTAAAAAATGTTTTTTTTTTTTTAATTAATATGCTCATATTGAATGAAAAGATTTGAAATCTTTAGTTTGGACAAAGAAACTTTACAAACAATTTGAAATTCTAGAACAACAACAACAAACCAAACCTGAATACCTGAAATGAAAAATTCAATGGATAGATTTAATGGTAGAAGAAAGATGGCAGAAGAAATCTTGGTAAACCTGAAGACAGATCAACAGAAATTATCAAATCTAATATTAAAAAAAATGAACACAACCTTAGAGACATGTGGGACAATATTAACAGATTCAACATAACTGTAAATAGAATGCCAGAAGAGAAGGAGGACAAAATGATCAGGAAAAAAAAAACATTTCAAGAAATCACTAAAATTTTCCCAAACACAAGGTTACATGAAACAAACTCAAGAAAAAGCAAGAATATCACAAAGAAAACTACAACTAAGTACATCACAGACAAGAATAAAGAGAAAAGTCTTAAAATATCAATGGAAAAATGATACTTTCCATACAGAGGAACAACAATTTGAATGTCTATAATCAATTGTTGGAGGGGGAAAAAGTAGGTCAGAAGATAGCGGTATTCTTTAATGTCCTGAGAGAAAAACAGTCAATAGAGAATTATTCAGTAACAAATATCATTCAAGAATAAATGCAAAATAAACACATTTTTACATAAGAGAAATCTACGAGAATTTTATTATTAACAGCCCTGACTGCAAGGACATTGTAGGCTATTCTAGAGGCCAAAGAAAAATTATATGAAATGGACATAAAAAAACTATCTCCAGCAAATGGCTGTAGTTCACAGAATATCAGATAGGAGATCTACAGGAGGCTCCAAAAAGTATTCAGCATAAGAGAGGGAAAAGCATTGCAAATGATAAATATGTGGATAAGTATTAAAGATAGATAATATATTTTTTTAATATTTAAATGTTAAACTTGAGTGCTGGGGCTTATAGCTTTTAATATAATATATACAGAAACTAAAGATAGGATAAAAGTTTCTACATTTTAAGTGAAGAGGTACAGAGTATTAGCTCTAAGGCTGAAAGGCTAAGAATATATATCATACTTTCTAGAAAAACAACTTCAAAATTCTTTTGTAAAAAGATATAGCTAAAAATCCAATAGAAGGTTTTTGCTTCCACTGAAACAACCAAAACAATATAGGGTGAAATAATGAAACAAAAGCTTTTAAAATACTGGAACAGTGATCCTTTAGAGGCTAGAACCCTACAAACTTAATGCCATAAACGAGTTTCCAGGCTATCTGCTCCAAAAAGGGGGAAGCCAGGCAGAACCTGTGAAGTGACACAGCCATAATGATTAAAACTTCAAGCCCAAAGATTCAAAAGGCTCAATGAATCCCAAGAACAGGAAGTATGACTAAAACTATGCTAAAGCACAACTCAAGTACTCAAAACCAGTGATAAAATCCTACAGCGGCCAGGGGAAAAGAGGGAGAAGAAGGAGGATAATAAAATTCTTGTCAAAAACAAAATGCAAGAAAGAAGATAAATAAACTAATATCCTTAAAGTATTGAAAAGAAAAAAAATCCTGTCAATTAGAATTCTATAGTTTGCAAAATAGCTTTAATAAGGTCAAGATAAAGATGACTTCAGTCATACAAGAGTTATAAGAACCAGTCATAACATACTTTCACACAAACACATAAGAACACACCCATACCCACACATAAAAGTCAAAGAGAGTTCATTAGGCAGAACCAGACCAGATGGAAATTTGAAGGCAGGGTTTGGCAAATTTTAGAGGCCTTCCACACTTGTTTCAGTAAATACAATTTCATGGAACACAGCTACAATCATTTGTTTACTCTTACTCTTCTGCTCTTGCTCTGCAACAGCAGAATTTAACTGCAACTAAGACTGTATTCTCCACAAAGCTTAAAACATTTAGTATTTGATCCTTCACTGAGAAGATTGTCAACTACTGATTTATCCCCAAGAATGAAAAATGTCAGAAATGGTAATTGCAATAATGGCTAAATTTACTTTCTTGTTATCTGAATTGCCTTAAAAGATTAAAAAAAGACCCTTTATTTGCAGTAGCCAAAAACACAACACTTCAAAACTGTCCATCAATGAGTAAATGGCATGTACAAGTTACTCAACAATACAATGGAATGATTTTTCAAATGGAATAGACTGACTCTCAAAATACGTATGCTGAGTGAAAGAAGCCAAAAATAAATAAAGAAAGAAAAATTCTAAAAAATTAAAGCTTTAATGACAGAAAACAGATCAGAGGTTGCCTGGGTTGGGTGAGATTAAAAGGGGGCAGAACAAAACTTTTGGAGATGATGAGTATGTTCATTTTTTTCATAGTGGTGAAGGCTTTGTGTGTTACATACAGGTTAAAACTTGTCAAATTGTATATTTCAAAGATGTACAGACTACTATATATAAAATATGTCTCTGGATCTGTCCAAAGGGAGAAAGGTCAATAAATGAAAATAAAATATGAAAAATTCACATGAATATATGATAAAAATTGTTTTGAAAATGTTAGCAAATCAAATTCAATAATAGATGAAAAGGATAATGTTTCATGACCATGTGAGGTTTATTCCAATGATGTAACATTGTCTTAATATTAAAAAATTGAATTACTAAGTGAATAAAAGAAAATAATCTATATGGTCATTTCAATACATGTAGAAAAAGCATTTGACAAAATTGAATACCAATTCTCAGTGAAATAGGAATAGAAGGGAATATGTCCTCAAATTAAAAAAGGACATTTATGAAAAATCTACAACAGCTGGTAAATGGATGAAAATGAGAGAACATCATGTTTAGTGAAATAAGCCAGATTCAAAAAAAATAAGGATTGAATGTTCTGTTTGATAGAGCAAAATAAGGAAGAAAAAAGGGAGGGGGAATACCATGAACATAGAAGGGAGATCAGTGGAAGAAGATAGAGGGAGAGAAAAAGGGGAAGAACAGCGGAATGAAATTGACCAAATTATCCTATATACATACTGAATATACCACAGTGAATTTCAACTTTAAGTATATCTAGAAAGCATCATTTAGAAAAAACTATAAATAAATAGAAAGAAGACCAGTAGAGGAAAGGGAACAGGGAGAGGGAGAAGGGGAGAGAAAGGAAATAGCAGGGACTGAAGTAGAGCAAATTATATTGTATGCATATGATTATGTCAAAAAATGAATCCCACCATGATGTATAACTCTGATGCACTAATAAAAATATTTAAAAATATTAAGAACAATGGAAAAAGGTCTAGTCTTGTTACTTCTATTAAATAGTGAATGAATGTATAAAGATTAGAAAGAAGTAAAACGTCTTTATTTGTAAATGACATGATTATTTACGTAGCAAATTGTAACAAAGCTACAAAAACGTATCAGAACTAATAAAATAAACTTATCAAGTTCACAGACTGGAAGGCTAATAAAATTCAATTATATACTTACATATTAGCATTCAGTTGGAAAATGAAATTAAAATAATTTCATCTAAAATAATAAAAAATCTGAACTATTTTAAAATAAATTTTGAAAGGTGTACTACTTTTCCAATGAAAACTATAAAACAAAGTAAAGATCTAAATAGTAAAGAGATACACTATATTCATAAATTTAAAAGTTCAGTAGTGTTAAGACGTCAATTCTCAAACTAATCAACAGATAATACCAATGCTAATTCAAAATTCCAACTGGACTTTTTAAAAAATAGGATTTGAAAAGCTGAACATATGATTTATGTGGAAATGTAAAGAACCTGGAATAATCCAAGCAACCTTGAAAAGAACAAAGTTGGAGGACTTTACTACCTGACTTCAAGACAAACTATAGTAACGAAGCCAATGTTAACACTGGCTTAAGGACTGACAAAAGATCATGAAACAGAATAGAAAGTTCATATGCGGACCTATTAATCTTTAATTTTCATTAAAGTTACCAAAATAATAGAATGAGGAAAGTCTCTTCAAGAAATGGTACGATAATAATTGGTATCCATATGAGGAAAAAAAAAAAAAAACTCAACCAAAAAACCTCTGAACACCATACACAAGAATTTATATAAGGTTCAGACACTTAACTGTGAAAGCTAGAACCATAAATTTGTGGAATAAGACATAAGAGAGTATCTTTATGACTTAGCTCTAAGAAAAGGTTTCATAGTGGGGCACGGGTTGTGGCTCAGTGGGCAGAGCGCTTGCCTAGCATGCATGAGGCACTGAGTTCGATCCCCGGCACCACATAAAAAACATGCAAATTAAATAAAGGTATTGGTTCACCTACAACTAAAAAAAAAATAAAAATTAAAAAAAGGTTTCTTAGAACACAGAAATCCAAAACATAAGTAACAGACTTCATCAAAATTTTAAAATGTATGTTAATTCAAAGCCATTGCTATGAAAATGAATAGACAAGACACAATATGGGACAAATTTTTTACCAAACATATTTGATAATTGATTAACATTTGGAATATATAAATTATTCCTACAACTTGATAATAAAAAAATAAATAACTTGATTTTAAAAATGGGATCATTACTTGAACAGACACTTTACCAAAAGAAGATACACAAAATGGCCAAGAATCTCAAGGAAAAAAAAATTTCCACATCATTTAGAAATATAAACTCATAGAATGGCTAAAACTTTAAAGGATGACACTACCAAATCTGGAAGAAAATATGGAGCAACTAGAAATTTTATATAATAAAGGTGGGAATATAAAATGGGACAATCACTTTGGGAAAAGATCTGGTAGTTCTTTAAAAATATAAATACATATGTACTCTATGGCCCAGCAAATCTTCAACTAGTATTTATTGAAGATAAAATGAAAACATATGTCTACACAAATAGTGTGAGAATGATCACGGTAGCACAATTTACAATAGTCAAAGCATGAAAATGCCTAAGTGTCCATCAGTAGGAAAGTGCAGTACAGGGCTAGGGATGTGGCTCAAGCGGTAGCATGCTCGCCTGGCATGTGTGCGGCCCAGGTTCGATCCTCAGCACCACATACAAACAAAGATGTTGTGCCTGCCAATAACTAAAAAATAAATATTAAAATTGTCTCTCTACCTCTCTCTCTCTTTAAAAAAAAAAAAAGAAAGTGCAGTACAATCACACGAAAGGAAAACATATTATATTCATAAGATAGACCATTTCTCAGCAACACAAAACAAATTATGACACATACAACAATATGGATGGATCTCAAAATATGTTACGTGAAAGGTTTACACAATAAAGCACGTATTGTATGATTATATGATGTTATAAATAGACAACATTAATATGTGGTAAAAACCAAAACAAAAAACAGTAGTTGACTCTGGAGAAGGGCAGAGTTGACTACAAAAGAGTATGAGGAGCCAGGCAAGGTGGTGCACACCTTTAATCCCAGCGGCTTGGGAAGCTGAGGCAGGAGGACTGAAAGTTAAAAGCCAGTCTCAGCAATTGCCAGGCGCTAAGCAACCCAGTGAGACCCTGTCTCTAAATAAAATACAAAATAGGGCTGGGGATGTGGTTTAGTGGTCAAGGGTCCCTGAGTTCAATCTCTGGTATCCTCCCAAAAAGTAAAAATAAGAAAGAGTATGAGGATACCTTGTGGGATGATGGTAACAAGATATATCTTAGTAAGGATCTGAGTAACATAGGTGTACACATTTGACATAACTCAATGGCACCTTAAGATTTATGCATATAATAGCTTGTAAATTTTACTTCAAAAGAAAAAGAATTTTCTCAACTAGTATACCTCAACTATAAATAAATATTGAAATCTGGTCAATGATTTGCATGCTAAGATATTTAGAGATATATGTGCTGATTATTTTATACTGTGAAATGTATAAGAAATTAAAATGAATTGATGGACAAATAAATAGATAAATGGACAGTAGATAAAGCAAATGGGATAATGGAAGAGATTGGAAAGCATAGGTGCTAGAAACTAAGATGCAAAAATGTTTTTTTATTGGTGCATGGTACTGCCCAGGGACCACAGGACTCTGTTGCTGTATAGTTCTGTCAGTTTGAAAGGGTATCATCTTATAATGGAGGTGGATTAACCCAGTTATCCCAGCTTGGCACTAGCCAATTAGGATCATCCAACTAATTTGCCTTGTTGTCATATTTATGCTTAATAAGCAGCCTTCTGGTGATTATAATCTGGCTTTTTATAGAGATTTTTGTAAAAGTAAGGGAAAATATATTGGTTTATCAGCAATTATTTGGCAAGTCATTTTTTTCTGATAAATTTAATGGGAACAATACAATTTTTATAAAAGACATAAGTTTGATTATTCTGACTTATATACATTAACCCTGAAAAAAGTTCAGTCTACCAAAAACAAAGCTGACTTCTGAACTGGGAAAATTGATTATAAAAACAAAAATAATAATTCATCTCCAATACAGATTTTTAAGGCCTCAGAATAGAAGGGCTCCTGAGATTATAGACTTTGTTATCTACATTCTCATCATTCATCATTGAGACATTGTGTTAATGCTTTTCATGATTCATTTCATATAGAATCATCTCCCAAAAAAGCATCTTACCGGGCAGAAAAGACAGGTTTATGATGCTATTAGTTCCCGAGTAGAGATGCAGCAAAAACAAACAGATCATATTCATAAGAAATTCACATTTTATTACCTGTGTGCCCTCATCAGAAATATCTGGGAAAGAAGTCTGTGATGCATTTTCATGTTTTTGAAAGGTTGGTTTACTTAGAAATTGGTTAATTTCTTCAGATTTTTGCTGGAGTTGATCTATGAAAAAAAAACAAAAAACAAATAGAAGTTCTATCTGCTTCAAGTCTGAAATTTATTATTTAAAGTTATTATCTTCTAAGGATATATCATATACTGTTTACTAGTTCAGTGACCTTGATTACAACTGTGATGCTAAGGGCATTTTAAAAAACTGTCAATGTTCTTAAGGAAAAAAGGCAGTAAACTACTTCCTTCAAAGGTAAAATAAAATAGACCTAAGCATTTTTTTTAAAGTTTATTTTTCCTTTCCCTGTGAAAATGACTTTTGTGTATATTTTATCTCCTTCACTCTCCACTTAAGTGTTATTGGTCCCTTCAAGATCCCATGGAAAAAGTTTATAAACTCGAACCTGGTTTAGATAAGATAACAGCATGCTCATGCAACCATGTTATCATGTAATGCTTTCTGGCTGATACTCAGCTCTTCAATACAAATTGTCAATGTAGATCTTTCTAAAATCTTTCCTTCTATGATTGTTAACCAATCAGTAGAGGTTATAATTTGGGGAAAAGGACTAGTGAGATAGATTACCAGTATTGGGAGTTTCACTTTTTAATATAAACTTCTAAAATGTTCAAAATTTTAGAAACCTGTACTTTTTTTTTTGCTTTTTTAAATTAATTTGTATTGGTGCATTATAATTATACCTAATAGTGGGATTCATTATATCATTATGTGCATATGTAACAATTTGCTCAAATGCATTACTTTTATAACAAAGATACCTACAAGGTTTTCTTTGTACTTTCTTAAAGGATAAAAGTTTTTTCTTTAAAAGAAAATTTTACCTGTAGGAAAAGGATTGAGATTCACATTTGAAATTAATAATGACTCCATGCAATTTAGTTCCCTTACCTATGTACTTAGATCTGGCCTGAGTTTCCCACCCCTTTTTAGATCAGAGTCATGTTTTACACAGCATGCTGTTTAATATCTGAAACATCATTATCACCAGTTATTAGTACAGGAATTATAATATTAAGAAAGATTATTACTGAAGTCGGTGGCAGGAAAAAATGCAACAAACAGTTCAAAAGTGAAGTCTTTGCTAACCCTACTGATTCAAATGGTTTGAGCAAAAAATATCATTAACACATCTCTGAATATAAGAAGTATAAGCCACTAAAGTGCTAGAGATATGAACTTTAATAGCAATAAAACACTAACCTTCCAGCTGTTGAATGACCTGGGCTGACTTAACTGCCTGCTCATTCTTATCTTGGAGAAGTTTTAAATTTTCATCCTTTAGAGCATCACAGGCAGATTGTAGCTCTTGCTCAGTCTTTTGAAGATTCAAAATGCAAACAGTCTTCTCGTCTATTTCTGCTTTGTACTTCTGCTCCAAAGCAAAATATTGAGACTCCAGTTCAGCCTGGACTTGGCCTGCTTGTTCAATCTGTCCCATAAGGTGTTGCACCTCTTCCTGCAGGTTATGAAAGGATAATTTTCTCTCTGCCATTTCAAGTTCCATTTTTTCCTTCAGAACCATGGACTCTTGTCTTTCTATTTCCATAGTGTTCCTTAAAATATTATGTTCACTTTCCATCTGCTGTAACTGCTGAGAGAGACTCTAAGAAAAAAGATAAAAGCCCATGAGCCATAAATATATTCTTTCATTTCAATGAGCATAGTAGTCAAGTGTTTCTTCTAGGTGAAGGATGGAGCTAGGCACTTAGGAGACCAAACCTACTGGCTAAAGACCCTATATTTTTGCTTCTAGATACTTTTGACAGTTTGTACTCACATATCTTTTATTTTCTGCCTCTTCTATTAGAAAATAAGTTCCATAGGAAATGAACTTTGTCTGTTTTATTTTTATTGATCTCTAGCACCTAGCACAGTATATGCATAGAGTGGTACCTGATAAATACTGAATGAATCAATGAATCCAGTCCCTTCCCTCAAGAAACTCAAGAGTTCAAGGACACTGAAATAGATAAGTATAATACAAAATATTAAAGGCCATGAGAAGGGAAACTTATAAGGTATTAATATGAGCAGAGAAGAAGGATGGGTTAGGGTAGCCTTCTTAAAAGAGAGCCACCTAATGTAAGATTTAAATAGTGAGGACTCAACCAGGCAAGTGGGCACTAAAAGAGAGTACCTTCAGAGAAACAGGACAAGAAAAGCAGAGAGGCAAAGAAAAACAGGGTTATCAATGATGTTTGAAATTTGTAGCAGGTAAAGCTTTAGTAAGAAAAGGTAGGAGTCAAATCATAAGTATCTTTACACACCACATTATTAAGGGACTTTGAGGGACAGGAAGGAGAACAGAGGCAGAGAAAATCCTGTCATGCAAAAATGTTTTTCATACAAAAATGTTGAGCCAGAACTAGTCTACTGGTATTACTAATAAAGAGAATTCAAGAATTATTTAAGAGGTAAAAATCAAGAAACTTAATAATCATTTAAAAAAATCTTTTTTGGTGTTGGAGATTGAACCCAGGAGTGCTTTACCACTGAGCTCCATCCTCAGAGTCCTTTTTATTTTTTACTTTTGAGACAGGGTCTTGCTAAGTTGCTGAGGCTAGCCTTGAACTTGCAATCCTCCTGCCTCAACCTTCTGAGTGGCTGGGATTACAGGTGTGTGCCATAGCTCTTGGTGCTTGCTAATTAATTAATTGTAGGGGTTAAAGAACAAGGAAGGGGAAAAAAGCCTAATGAGTTTTATTATTTTAGGTAAATGGTTCATTAAGAGAGGAAATATGATTAAAAAAAAGGTTTTCTTTGGTTTTTGTTTGTTTTTAATATATTTTATTTTTGATTGACATATAGTAATTATATATAGTTATAGGATACAATGTGACAATTCAATATATATATATATACAATATGTAATGACCAGATCAAGGTAATGGTCATATCTATCACCTCAGAGATCACTGAGGGATTTGTGGGATACCCACATATTGGAAGGGAACTGGATATATATCAAATGCACTGGGAAGATAAAATTTTGGAGATATTAGTGGCACTAGGGATGCAGTCTTACCATCTACCATGAGAGGGAAAGTGAAAAGAATGCATTTAGTGACAATACAGGACTGAGTCTGATATACTGGGAAACACAGTTAAATGGGTAGGAAAACGAAAAGAAGTCAATGAAGTAAAAACAAACAGAAAAGCTCCAGAAATGTAGGAAAAGAACCAACATAATGCCAAGTTCTAACAGTCAAGGGAATGAAAAACTTCAAGGAATAAGTAATTAATAGTAACAAATATTGAAGAAGTGTTTTATGACTTTAGAATGATTTCAGTAGACAATATTGAATAATTTTATCTATTACACATATTACACAATTATTTTATCTATTACACATAAATATGTGCCAAACACTGTCTTAAGTACTTTTACTATTTCAGGTGATCCTGTGTTATGCCCATGATATAAATACTTTTATACCCATTTTACCAATCTGAAGCCTACCAAATTGGTTTGGGGCATGTATGAGTTCTCATGCCTGAACTTCTTCATTTTACAAAATGTAAATGATAAGAGTACCTATTACATAGGGTTGTTATGAGGATTCATAGTACAACTAATATGTAATTTTCCAGAAGATATATAGATGTAATTATCTGTGTGTGATGCCTAAAAAGTGGCACAACTGGAATTTAAACTTCATTATCTAATGGCAGTCTGAGAGGGGATTTGGGGTCAGGACATGGGTTTTATGAGGATGGAAGGAAGGGGAACATGTTTCTAAGCAAGAGAGAAATCCTGCCTCAAGAAAGAGAGTTGAAGACTAGGAGACAGGATTGGCTGACTTTCTCCAGCAGCATGCAGCGCCCAAATGAACAAGCAGAGATTGTGGGCTATAGCACCAATTCTGCATTATGATTTGACTACTTGCATGTTATACAACAAGGAATCTAATGTCTGTAAAGTAGTCCAAATGGTCAAGCATGGGTCCAAAGAGGAAAGAGAGAGGCAAAAGAAGTAGCACGCTGGAGGAACAAAGTGGAAAGATCCTTGGTTCTTAACAAGAATGAAGTTCAGGACAGTATGAGAAAGGAAATGACAGGATGCATTATAATCAGGGAACAGGATACTTGAATTTTTAAGATTTTAGAATATAAAAATCCTTGATCATCTTTAGATTCAAGGGAATATTACATAATGAGATTACTTCAATCCAACTGACAAAAACAGGCAAAGAAGAGACGATATATAATGCACAAGAATTCATTTAAGACAGCAAAGGGGAAAGGTGATCAAAAAGGAACTCATTAGAGGAAAATAGGACATTCTAGAGAAAGTAGGACTCTGGACCTAAAACGAAAAGAGCAACAATAATGATGTGGAATGTAAGCTCCACAAGGTTGAGAACTGTATTTGTTTTGCTCATCATTATACCACCACCACATAATCAGATATATTTACTGAAAAAAAAAAAAAAAAGGTACCCATTCTCTAAAGGCTTATAACAGGCTTTTTTCCCTTCTTCTTCTCTTTGGTACTAGAGACTGAACCAGAGGTACTTTATCACTGAACTACATCATCAGTTCTTATTTATTTAATTTTAAGGCAGGGTCTCACTAAGTTGGTTAGGTCTACAACAGGCTTTTAGACCTGCTTCTTAGCAAATTAAAGTGGAAAAGAATAGCCCCCTGGTAGGCAGTGAAGATCACATAAGACAGTACCTGATTTCTCTGCTCAGCAGCAGTCAGTTCCTGCTGTAGCAAGTCCACTACCTGAGCACGGCCCGACAGGGCTTCTTCATGCTCTTCAAGCTTCCTCTGCAGCATCTTCAATTTCTGTAAAAACATTTTAGACACAATGTGCTAACAAATGAGCACTATTATTTTTATACCTTTCAAAATGTCATGTAGATTTATACATTTCAATTTCTTAATGTAGAAGATGATCAACTAAAGAGGGGACACCAGCATGCCATGCTCCCCATCCAGCAGCAACAAAGAATCTCCAAAATGTCTTCCCAGAGCTCAGACAACCACCGAAGTCAGAAATGAGCAAGTCCCTGAATTATAGAGCCTTCTAATAATTATAGGAAAATGACACATTTTAAAATCCACTTTCAAAATTACATAGTTCATGTCTTGTGCCTAAATAATATTGGTAACATGTATATCTCACCCACCAAAAATAACATTCTCTGCAGGCAAGAACCATTTCTCTTCTAGTTTCATGCACAGAGTAGGCACTTGAAAAATATGTGTTGAATACATGTATGCAAATAATGTTCTACTTAAACAAGTATTATATTCTGAAACTTTACTTAGTGGTACATTCTGAAAGATTGCTTAGAACTTGGAAGAAGTTGCACTCAAAAACAATTAAAATGGATCAAACAACAAGTGCCACTGGAGTGCCTTTCAGTACCATACTATACTACACACTAAATGAAAACAAATACCTCTGAGTTAGTAGATGGTGAATTCAAATACAATGAAGTCAATTTTCAAAATTTATTTAAGGAACATTTTAAAAAATACTGATAATAAAGGACTTCACAGTTTCAAAGTACTTCTTTTTTGTCTTCAATTTTTTCCAAGTTTAAAATTGACTTCATTGGTTTAAAGATGTGAATCAGGTTTTTAATGCACGAAGGCAGCTGCAATCAGCCAAACCAAAGAAAAACCAAATTCTGACTACCACACATATTCCCCAATTAAACTCTGCTTTGGTGTTCTAACAACCTTATTAGAGGGGTAAATGGCAAAATAAGGGTAGGGAAAATAATGTGCAACAGAAGACAAAGACACCAAAAAGAAGCCAATAAGGAGCACACCAGGACCCAGTGAAGAGTAGTGGGGAGGGGTAGTAGTTGAAATGCGGCTGTGATGTCTTGATTAAATGTTAACTGAAATGACAGACATTCTACTGCGTTTGAGAAACACACCTGTTGCATCTCTGTTTCCACATCTGCCTGGGTTACTAACTGAAGAAGCTCATCTTCATGAAGACGAATTTGTGTTTCAAAGCGGGCATCTTTCTCTCGGACCACCTGCTGCATGGAACTCAACTGAAGATACACACCAGAGAAACTATGCAAGTTATACTTCCGAGTATTTCACAAAAAACTTACAGACTACTCTCCAAAGACAGACACTAAGAATTTACACACAAGTTTTTTAAAATTCAGTTTTAAATGTCAAAGATGAGAATGCTGGAAGAGAGAAGGGCCTGGTGGTACTTTCAAATGAGAGGAAGCCTAGTATCAAATTCAGAAGTCAGTCTCAATAAAACTCTATTAGAAATTATATTTTCATGGGTGGTAGAAATGTTTTAAACATACAGGTATATTTTTTAAAAGTTCTCAAAGATTAGAACATTAAATATAAAGTTAGACTTCTATTAAACTCTGGATACTTCTTTGAACATCACACTCATGCTCAAAAATATCCAATGACATTCTCATGCCTTATAAGTGAAAATTCAATCTTTTATTCGAGAGTCTCTATAATTGAAAATATAAATTTATCTTTCCAGTCTTATTTTCAAAGACTTGCTTCTACCAAAGAATTCAGTGTGCTTCCAAACCCATACCACCTTTGCAAACAGTTATTTTCAGATGACATTACTTACAGGCTTCTAGATCATGCTCATTTGGCCTTTTACAGGATGAAGTGGAAATAAATGAATGATTGTGAGCTGCTGGGCATCAGTGTTTTTGTTTGGCTTTACGCTGTGATGTCTATTCATTCTATGGTTGAGCATGTTGACCAGATCTTAGTTTGCCCATTTTGCATTAGTCCTTTACCTATTGCTGATTTCTTAGTTGTAAAACCTTAACTTTGGCTCATTTCTTGATAGTTTAACAAAAAACCCTTATGATTTTTTGATTATTGAAATTATGAATTCATTATGAATTTGGAATTCTGTGTTTTAAGCATGCAGGCATTCGAGTCTTTCCCTAGCCAAAGACAGCTAACTATCTTTTCCTTAAATGTACTGGATATATATCTTCTCTGAGACTACTCACACTCTTCTCCATGACTAGAATGCCTTTCTCCAGCTCTTATAGAATATTATCTATTCTCATGGTGTTGCTGAAATCCCAACTTTTCTATATAACTTTCCATAACTGTCATGCTCACAATAACATCTTTTACCTCTCAAAATAATTTGTTTGTAATGTTGCTTGCTTTGACATTTATTTGGAATTTCTTACATTATCATAAATCTGTTAATATAGTTATATATCTTGGCTTTCCATAATTTAAGCAAATTATAGGTAAAAACCATGTATTGTATTTCTCTATATGATATGTGTATGATACTACATAAAAAGGACATAATGAAAGCTAGTAAGATAAAATTAAGGACTTCAGTATATATAATTTTAACAATTTATACGACAGGTATTATGGTTTGGATGTGAGGTGTCCCCCAGAAGCTCACGTGTGAGACATGCAAGAAGGTTCAGAGGAGAAATAATTGGGTTTTAAGAGTCTTAACCCAATTAATCCTGAAAGGGATTAACTGAGTGGTAGCTGAAGTGGTAGGGTGTGGCTGGAAGAGGTGGGAATTGGGGTGTGGTTTGGGGTATATATTTTGTTATCTTCAGAGTGATATCTCTCTATCTTTCTCTCTCTCTGCTTCTTGATCACCATGATGTGATCTCTCTCTCTCATCATGAAGTTGTATCTTACCTCAAGCCCCAAGGAATGGAACCAGCCTTCTATGGACTAAGACCTCAGAAACCATGAGCCCTAAATAAACCTTTTCTCCTCTACAGTTATGCTGGTCGGGTCCTTTAGTCATAGGAGCAATAAAGCTGACTAAAACAATAGACCATTTATAAATAAAAAGGCACCACTAATAACAAGTTACCAATATATCTGATGGGTAAGATTAGCTATGTGAAAAAGTACTTCATGGATAGAATGTGTGAGTCAAAAGCATTCCCAAAGGAAAAATATGGGTGTGGGTGGTCAACTAGAAAATTTAGAAAAATAGAAAGCGTTATGGATGTCAGTCTAAACAGTCAGGTCTTAGTGGCAGAAATAAATAAGATGAATGTCATATACTACTGCTGTTTAACAAGGAATCACATACCTACATAACTTTCTTATTACATGCCTACTAAGTAGCTTTCTGATTATAATTTACCTTCCCACTAAGATTCTATTGTATGAAAAGAATGGACCTAATTATTTGTATTTCTTTTGGCTTATTAGTCTTTTTTGAACTTATTATAAAGCCCATTCCTAAGAGACCATGCTATTAAAATCAAGTATTTGGATCTGTAAAACTAATAAACAATCATCAATTAGCCTATGGCAAACACATCAAGGTAAACAACACTTTTTGAGAGTTTCTAGTGTTCCCTAATGACATACTTATGTACTTACCTAATTTCTTCTATTATCACACCCTTCTAATTTCTACTTTTAACACTCTAGCTACTATTCTTTCACCTACTAAAATTTAAAAAATAACTGTCTGAATTGACTTGCAATGTAAGAAATGGTGATGGACTGAAATATCATAACTTTTTATTCTAATAAAGGTACTTCTTCCCCTTCCTGTGCAGCTTGCTCTGCCTGTGTCTGGCTGAGCTGGGCTTGCAAAGTGCTAATGAGTTCCTCCTTCTCCTGGAGCTGTTGCTTCATCATTACAAATTCCTCCATTTCTGTAGAACTTTTATCAAACTGAAAATATAGAAGAATTAAAGTATTTATTTAAAGCAAAAGGTTTAGCATTCTTAATTCTTTGACCTTCCTTTCTTATTTATCCTAAATGCCTACCATATTTCCTTCTAATTTTCACTTAACACAAAAAAAGAATTGCGTTGTGAATTTAAAAAAGAAATTATCAAAAATTATTTGTCAGAAGAAGACAGAAGTGATAGAAATTTTTTTTTCAATTTCTATGCCTCACATAGAAAAAGACAGTAAATTAGACAGCAAAATAAAAAAAACATGGATAATATTTACAATAAAATTAGGAAGATAGTTCTACAAACCCTAAAACATAAGGAAGTAAGGATAAACCACTAAAATCTACAAGACCTGCATAGTATTAGAGTTTGCATAACAGGAAGAAGATGGAGGCAAAGGGACATCTGATGGCCCTGAGAACAGGAAAACTCCAAAATAGCCAAAAAGTATTGCTGGAATGGACAGCTGGCAAATTTTAGAATAGCAACAGGGCTCTTCCATTCTTCAATCTGAATAAATGCAAGGGGTCCGTCCACAGTAAGGAGGACTAACAGGGCTAGACGAATTTAGCCCCTCTGGTCTCTCAAAACTGACTCATCAGGGCTCCCTTCTAAGACCTAGACATATACTCTGAAGAAAATACTCACTAATGAAATAAAAATTAAGCAAAGCTGGGGAATGCAGCTCATCACAGAGTGCTTGCCTAGAATGTGTGAGGCCCTGGGTTCAATCCTCAGCATTGCACAAAAAATAAAAAAATAAAAATTAAGACTAGGGATAATAGAAACAGAAAAAAGAGAATGGTATAATTCAGCACCAACTAACCTCATAAGGCTATATAAAGGAATAAGAAATACAACTAATGTGAAAAATTTTTCTTCTTAATATTTAATTTTAACTAAATTTAAAACTAAAGTATAAATTATTTTTCAATAGTTTTGTTTTGGTATGACTATATTTACTTTATCTGTTGTATAGAATAAGATATTGTTGGGGTGTTGTTCAAGTAACAAGCATACATATATTTGGTATCAATAGAATGATGCGGTTTCAATAGTTTTCTACACACCTATACAGTATTGTGACATTACATAGGTAATAATTTGAATACTTAATGCAGATAGTTTGGGTAAATAGTTGATACCAAAATAAATCACAATTGGTAGTTAAATTGAAATATATACATTTATTATTACTTTAATTATAACTAAATTATTTTTTCTAGTTCAAAAATCAGTATAGTTTAAAATGAAGGCAGACTACTGATGTATATATAATTCATTTGTTTTTATTTCTAAGAAGTATTCCAATGTGTGGATATATTAGAGTTTGTTTCAATATTCACCTGGAGAGGAAAAAGTGAATTGCCTCCAGTATTTTGTATAACAAATAAACCTATTCATATTGGATAGTGCTGATATAGACCAAAGTGAAAGGTGGGGGAAAGAAAGTCACAAATCTGAGAAATCTAGTTTGAACACAACACAAAAAGAACATATGAGCGAAGTCTATTATGTAAGAAAAGTTTTCCTAAAAAAGCCCCCTTCTGAAGGTTCAGGAAAACTAATTTCACCCACACAAAAGGAAATAAAGATCAAGGCCCAAATCCCATATGAAATTAGTATTAAAAAAGGCTAAGGAGAATAATATGCTTACAGGTGATTAAAAAAAAAAATACCAGAAGCATGCTCAAAAAACAAGAAGAAATTGCTATCTATTTCAAAAGGAGTTAAAAATTAATAAAATTGTAAAGGACATGAAAGAAAACCATAAATCAGAATTAGAAGGGCTAGGGATATAGCTCAGTGATAAGCTCTTGCTTCACATGCTCAAAGCCCTGGGTTTGATCCCCAGAATCACAGAACAACAACAAAAAAGAATGATAAAATCTAAAAAATGAGGTAACCAAACTCATGAAGTTGATATAAAAGAAAAAACCATTCCAGAATAGAAGAAAAAACAAGAAATACAAAATAGATTGCTTTGAGTGAAAAAAAAGAAGCTCGAAAAATTTTAAGGAAGAAAGAGATAAAAGAAATTGAGAAAAGTGATAAATATTGTAGATAATCGAAGATCAAACACACAAATAACAGAAGTCCTCCAAAAGAAAACCAAGTAAGGGAATACATCTAATATTTCAAACTATATAATTCAAGGAAACTTATGTAATAAATATGTGAACCACATATTCAAATAACATACTAGGTAGATAAAAATATCAATCAAGAATGGCAAATACCCAAGCATATACTAATAAAATTACTAGACTTGGATGTAAGGGAGGAAAGGAAGGAGTTCGGGAGGGAAGGGAGGAGAAAAGGAGATAGGAAAGCAGGAAGGGATGGGACTGATAGACATATTGATAAACATGTCATATAATAATGCATCCCTTGGGTTTTAGTGATTCATTAACCTTTTGATCATGAGGTAACTCACACCCCCTACCTGGGCAGCTTGTTCTGCCTCAGTAAGCCGGGCTTGCAAACTGCTAATTAGTTTCTCCTTCTCCTGGAGTTCATGTTTGATATTTTCCATTTTCATTTCTTCCTCTGTAGAACTTCTGTCATGCTGAAAATGCAACAGATAAAGTAATTCATTTAAAAACATTACAATTATATATATATATATATATATATATATATATATATATATATATATACTCTATTTGCTCTTTACAACTACTAAACTATAATTTTATTAAACTCATGGGAGCAAGAAAAACCTAAAGTAATCTTAGGGTTTTGCAGTTTTAGTATGGCCAAGTAGCTCCTACTAGATCTCCCCTCCCCCAGAGATAAGCTGTAAACTCTGGAAAATATAGACAACATTATAAAGCAGGAAAAGATAGGAAGGGAGTTATACTTAGAAGTAGTAGCACTGAGCTTCCCATCTGACAGCTTAAGACTAAGAACAAGTCAGTGCTTTGCAGGACTAAACTTAAATAGAAAATCCAATCTTGCTGCCTTGAAAAATCAAGGCCAGAGTCCAGAAAACTACAGCTGCTATTAAGTGAGGGTTAAAACACCAGAAAAAGGGCCTGTAGGGGAAATCCAAATCTTTCAACAGTCTTTCCTTTTTTTTTTTTTAAAAAAAAAGATCTTTCTTAGACCCAGATTCGATTTCCCCACTGAATCCCCAAATGAACCTAATTCTGCTTACTGCAAGTGCAAAAAATAATTTTACATTTTCTTTCACATTAGTCTAGCATCTGAGGATTGCTTTCATTTCTTCAACTATACTCTCGCTCCTCAGATCATCTGGCTTTGTACTGAATCCATAATAGTTTTATTATATAAATGTATACTCTGACTGCTAGCACTGCCTGGAACTGCTGGGAATCATTTACTCAACAGGGAAAGGAAATAAAACTGTAAGATGTTGGATGTTTTAGGTCTCAGAGCTAAAAATAAAATTAATTAAAAATCAAAGTATGAAATAATTTAAAAATCTACGAGCATGACGGAGGGAAATTGAAGGAAAAAACAACACAAAAGAAAGGTTGGTGCTACCATAGACAGGTGAAGGGAACTGTTGGAGGAAAAAACAAAAAGTAAGAAAAGAAGAATGCAGATGAAGAAGTTATTTGAGAGGACTAATAAAAGTTTTAAAATAAGCTTTTGAGAAGTTAAATGAGGTTATCAATTCAGGAAAAGTAATGTCCTCTGAGCATTAGCCCCTGAAAAGAAAAACTAACCAAGGTACTGGGGAGCTAACTAGTGCCCTAAGGGTTATGCCTAGAAAACTAATTAAAACCTTTTCTCCCAAGAACTGAGAACAATGAGAATAAGAACTCAGCTGGTAAATGAATAAAACCAGACAGAAATTAAGAAAATAAGATTTCTTATACAGGGTGAAGGCTGACTGACTCTACAACTACAATGTGCACATGTGACATTCCTGCCACTGAACTCTGCACAAAACTGAAGTTTCCTGTTGTCCACATAGCTGTCTAAATATGAATATCATGAAGGAAAAATATTAAGTACTGGAACAGTAATACTCTATTCCTCAAAAGGGAAACTTCCTTAGGTCCTCTCTGTATCCTCAACAGTAAACTATTTTATTGGTGGCAGCCATAATCATAGAGAGCTTCCTTTACAGGGAGTCCAAGGTAATCTGGCTGATTCAGCCCCCAAATCTGTAAAACACTAATCCATCACTCTGTGGCCATATGAGGACATAAAATTTTTCTTTATAAAGTCTCTGAATAAAGGATTTCAGCATGCAAAAAAATAACCATTAGAGTTAATGTTCTAACTCCTCCAAGTTGAACCTACTCCAAAAAGTACTAACTCCTCTCTAAATGTCTCACTTTAATTGTTATCTCTTCCTATTAGCCTTTTTAATTCTCTGAAAGTCTAAGCCACAACTGACATTTCATGTCCATGTTTTCTGTAGGCCTTTCATTCTCCATGTGTGAGCTACAGATAGTCCAGTCAAATTATGTCTTGTCCCTAAAGAAAGGACAGTATTTAATGCTTTTTATTTTACCATTACAAATATTTGTGGTTAGTGAAGATTTTCCATACTGAGAAGCTTTCTAGACTCAGAAAAGACATCTAATACCCAGTACCCATACCTTGGAGAATGACTCTTTTGACTGAGATTCTGGAGGCTGAACAGTTCCTCCTTGTGCCTTCATTTCTTCTATGTGTTTATTCAAAGCAGTTAATTTTGCTTTTGCACGAAATTTGATTTTTTTAATTTTGTCATCAGAAGTTTTTCTTTCCTCCTGCCAAAAAACAATAATGATAAATGCATGAATGTTTATTCTCCATAAATATTTATCTAGCACATAACAAAAGTTATTTTACTAGACATCACATTACAGTATTAATAAGAAACAAATTCTCTAGATTATTAAGTGAATAGTATATCTGTCCTTTGGCAAATACTCTATAAGAAAAAACAAATGCAGTAGTACCTGTAGAGCTTCATCCTTCTGCTGCAGTTGAATATCCTTCTGTCTAATACTTTCTTTTAGCTCCACCACCAACTGTTCTGCATAAGCCAGTCGCTCCAAAACATCCTCTTCTGTTCTACTATTAAGTTCCATGTCCAATTCCTGAGGTACTTCCTGATGTTTAGGAAAAAGTTGCCATTACATCAGGGAAAAGGTATTAACTTCCAAACAGGAATTCCTTCATTCCAGGAATTTCATCTTATCCTTTGCCCAACTCATATCCTTTGAAATTCGAGACTCTTTATAACTGAGCCAACAGAACTTACAGCCATTACAATATATTGAGTATTTTATTGACATAGTATTAATCTAATATTACTGCTATGGTTTGGATATTCATATCCCCCCCTCCAGCTCCTGTGTTAATGCAGAATGTTTGGGGACAAAGATTAGATTGTGAGAGCTATAACCTAATCTGTTCAGCCTAGTTTGAATGGACTAACTGTATGGTAACTTGAGGCAGGTGGGGCAGGGCTGGAGGAGGGGATTCACTAGGGGCATGCCCTGCAAGGATTTATGTACCCTGCAGCCACTTCCCTTTTATCTTTTTCTGCTTCCTGGATGCCATGAATTGAACAGAGCCCCTCTACCATCCCTTCTGCCTCACCTTTGTCCAAGAGCAATGGATTTGGCTCACCATGGCCTAAACCTCTGAAATCATGAGCCAAAATAAACTTTCCCCTCTCTACACTGTTCTTTAAAAAAAAAAAAAATATATATATATATATATATATATATATATTTATTTTTAATTAAATATATTATAATTAAATATATATTAAATAAATTAAATATATTATATAAATATATTATATAATATATTAAATATATTATAATTAAATATAAATATTTATTATATAAAAAATTTATATATATATAAATTATATATATATATATATATATATATATATATATATATATTAGTTATAGTTGGATGCCATACCTTTATTTTATTTATTTTTATGTGGTGCTGAGGATCGAACCTAAGGGCCTTACACATGCTAGGCAAATGCTCTACCGCTGAGCCACAACCCCAGCCCCCTCTACATTGTTTTTGTTGGGTATTTTGGTCACAGTGATGAAAAGCTGACTAACACTATTACCAAAGAGAACAATAAAGGAAAATAAAGATCACATATATTAAATTATATTACACATATATTAAATTATGTAGAGACATTAATGAACAAGAGCAAGTCGTGGCAGCTGCAGTAAAACAGGCTTTAGATGCCAGAGACATTAATGAACAAGGGCAAATTGTGGCAGCTGCAGTAAAACAGGCTTTAGATGCCAGGCCAAGAACATGCTACAGTTGTGAACAAACAGGACATTTTAAAAGGAATTGCCCCATTGGAGGAGTGCCGCAGTCTGGCTGGGCACAATCAGGAGCCACTTGTCAAAAGAAACTAACTTTATTTTTAGAACCACACATGCCAAACAAAACAGCCTCTCAGGAAAAACCCTCAGAGCCTCAACTGCCACCACCGGCTTTCCACAAGCCTCTCTCTCCCCCACAAGCTTCTCCCCACCTCCCACAATCCTCCTGCTCTTGAGGCCGATTGGCTGGGTCACGTGGGCGGAGTCAAAAAAGTCCCCCAATGAGCAGCTCCGTGGTCTGAAAGGGCAGGGAAACAGCCCAATGAGCATCACCGCAGAGGAGCCAATCAGCTAGATGTTGCTGGGGCCGCTGTGAGCCAATCATCAGCCAGCAGCTGGAAGTTTGCTGGCAGCTGGAAGTTTGCTGGGGCCCCTTTGGCTGTGGCTCTCAACATCTCCCCCTCTCTGTTTAAACAACAAGCATGTGGCTTAGGGACCGTGCCTGTTAGGCAGTCCAATTCAACATATGGTCCTTACCCGTCATCGGATGAACTGACCTCTAGGCGTCAGCCTCCTGTCTTAGGTTGGTACCACTGCAATTGGATCATACCCGTCACTGACTACCGGTCCAGCATACAGCCATACTTGTGGATAGGCCTTTGCACCTGTGGGGGGGTGAGGTTCTTTGCCTCACCTCTGTTGGCCCCCAAATTTTAGACCATCACTAGTAGAGGAGGATGCAAAATGCCATGACATTAAGCCAATTGAGGGCTCCTTTGAAAAATTGTACCACCGGTGACACCATCAGCAAAAATACTCCAGCACTACCACAATTCGCTGTACCAACAGATAGTTCACAATGCATACAGGTGAGCTCACAATGTGTCCAGGCAAGTTCTGCAAGCAGTTCAGTGATGGCTATTGTAGAAGCTGTAGATTGGTTTTATCTTTGACTTCACCAGCACTGGGATGAAGATAGGAATTCTGGCAATAATGGCTAAAGAAAAAATTATGTAACATTACAGAAGGCACTAAAAGAAAACAATTTTCTTAACAATTTACATTGTCTTTAAGAGAATTATTAAATATAATGAAAAGGAAAGGTGAAAGTAAACAAACAGATCTGTTAACCTTCTTTTTTGTTTACATATTAAAACAATCCTCAACAGTTGTTTACCCAATTTAAATTAAACCATATAAATCACGTGAAAAAAAAATATTTGGATCCATTTTATCATGAGCGCTCATCATATATGATATATGGACATACGTACATTCAAACATATAACACAAAACACAAGTGTGCACACATAATATAATACATACAACACATAACATTATAGTAAAGGCCTTATAACTTTTTACAGGTGAAATCTCCATTGCAATGTTTAAAAACTCTATAGTCAAAAAATAGAACTGATCAGAAAAACATTAACCTAGGTCTGTATGAGCTCAAAAAACAAAATAGAACTTCATGATATGGCAAAGGGCAATAATAAAATAGATATTGAAAAAAGCATCCTGGTTCTGTTGCAGATGTAAGAATAGCCAAACTGGAGTTTTGGATATCAGTTGTTATGGATTTGAGCCAAATCATCTTCTTTTTGGTCTGTAGAAATCGCTTTAGTTAATCTTTCTGGAATCCAAATCGGCTGCTGTTCTCCCTGTGGAAACACATAAACAGACCCCGGACTCCAGACAATCACTGGGTCAGGACCTTGGTTAATCTCTCTGGAATCCAAATCGGCTGCTGTTCTCCCTATGGAAACACACAAACAGACCCCCGACTCCAGACAATTACTGGGTCAGGACCTTTCCATTGTCCTGTTAGAATATCCTTCCAAAGTACCTTGGGCTTATGTACATTTTTTGGACACATATGCCTTTCCGCAGCACTAAGTCCTGATGAATCCAAATTTAAAAAGTTTAGAGTAAAAAGGGTTATTTTAAGTTTATCTTTGGGGAATATATACCCCTTCCCAATTCCTTCTTTTTGCTTTAATAAGTACATTTTAATAGTTTGATGAGCTCTTTCAACTATGCCTTGTCCCTGTGGATTGTATGGGATTCCTGTTATATGAGTAATGCCAAATGTTGAGAAAAATTGTTTAAAAGAGGTAGAAGTATAACCAGGGGCATTATCTGTTTTTAACTGTTTTGGAACACCCACAGTGGCAAAATTTTGTAAGCAATGAGCTATAACATCTTTAGTTTTTTCTCCGGCATGAAGGGAGCCCATCAAAAATCCAGAAGAAGTATCAACTATAACATGCAAATATTTTAATTTTCCAAATTCTGGCAAGTGTGTGACGTCCATCTGCCAAATATGGTTAGGTATCAATCCTCTAGGATTGACTCCAAGATTAACTTGTGGTAAAAAGGTCACACAATTTTGACATTGTTTTATTATTTGTCTAGCTTGTTCCTTAGTTATTTTAAAACGCTTTTGTAAAGTATTAGCATTGACATGGAACTTTTTATGAAAATTTATAGCTTCTTCTAGTGTAGAGAAAATATGTATGTCATGTGTAGTTTTATCTGCTAAATCATTGCCCAAACTAAGGGCTCCAGGCAATCCTGTATGTGCCCTGATATGTCCTATAAAGAATGGATCTTTTCTGTCCCAGATTAGACTTTGTATAGTGGAAAGCAAAGAGAAAACAGTAGAATAAGGGGAAATCCTACCAGCATCTTCAAGAGATACTATAGCATTAACTACATACTGACTATCAGAAAATAAATTAAATACAGAATCTTTAAACATCACAAAAGCTTGTAAAACTGCATTAAGCTCTACCTTTTGAGCTGATTTTTTGGGTACTAAAAATGTAAAAGTTTGATCAGGGGTAACTACTGCTGCTGTACCATTATTTGACCCATCAGTGAATATATTTGGAGAACTGGCTATAATTTTTATTTCACCTTCATAATCGGGATCAATTACCCCAGGACTTATCATAAGTCCTTTTAGAGTAGAAGAGCTGCGTCCCAATAATAAGCCTACTGTTCCTTTGGGAAGAGGTCCTTTCACCCCTGTGGGAATGATTTGAACTCCCATCTCTGGAGTTAGTACTGCTCTGGCGGAGGTGCAGATGTCCAACCCTGCGCTCCCTCTGGTTTGTCTGATGAGGGATCTGATGGACAATGTGTCCTGGGCACTACCCTGATGGGGTTGCTGGGTTCCTCCAGTGCTCCGTATATTTGTGGTTTTGGGCCCCGGAGCATTGGGCCCCCCTGTCCATTTTTTGGCAATGGAGCCCGATGCCTTTCTCCACGATATCGTGGATAAACACCTGGTCCTTGTTCGTTTTTTGATAATGGAATACCCTCTATGGTGGTTCGAGAACGGCATTCATTAGCCCAATGTCTCCCTCTACGGCACCGTGGGCAAATACCTGGTATTCTACTCCTTTGATACCTAGTTTTGTTAAACCCTCCTCCAATGGGGCAATTCCTTTTAAAATGTCCTGTTTGTTCACAATTGTAGCATGTTCTTGGCCTGGCATCTAAAGCCTGTTTTACTGCAGCTGCCACAATTTGCCCTTGTTCATTAATGTCTCTTGCATCTAAAGCCTGTTTTACTGCAGCTGCCACGACTTGCTCTTGTTCATTAATGTCTCTACATAATTTAATATATGTGTTTAAATCTTCATGTTTCCATGGTCTAATGATATCTCTGCACCAACGATTCGCTTGCTCATAAGCCAGGTGTTTTAGTAATGGCATTGCTTGTTCTGTATTCCCAAAAACTCTGGTAGCTGTTTGAATAAGCCTATCTGTTCCTCAGACGTAAATAGTTTTTCCTCAGATGTGAACAAAACTAGGTATCAAAGGAGTAGAATACCAGGTATTTGCCCACGATGCCATAGAGGGAGACATTGGGCTAATGAATGCCGTTCTCAAACCACCATAGAGGGTACTCCATTATCAAAAAACGAACAAGGACCAGGTGTTTATCCACGATATCGTGGAGAAAGGCATCGGGCTCCATTGCCAAAAAATGGACAGGGGGGCCCAATGCTCCGGGGCCCAAAACCACAAATATACGGAGCACTGGAGGAACCCAGCAACCCCATCAGGGTAGTGCCCAAGACACATTGTCCATCAGATCCCTCATCAGACAAACCAGAGGGAGCGCAGGGTTGGACATCTGCGCCTCCGCCAGAGCAGTACTAACTCCAGACATGGGAGTTCAAATCATTCCCACAGGGGTAAAAGGACCTCTTCCCAAAGGAACAGTAGGCTTATTATTGGGACGCAGCTCTTCTACTCTAAAAGGACTTATGATAAGTCCTGGGGTAATTGATCCCGATTATGAAGGTGAAATAAAAATTATAGCCAGTTCTCCAAAGGGTATATCAGTAATTTCACCAGGAGATAGAATAGCACAGTTACTAATAATACCCAGCCTACATGATAAATTTTCCAGTCGTACTGTAGAAAGAGGTTCCAAGGGATTAGGCTCCACACGTGTAGATTGGGCTATGCTTTCTTTAAATTTAGATTCTCGCCCCATGCTAAAACTAAATATTCAAGGACATGAATTTAATGGGCTACTGGATACAGGTGCAGACCTTAGCATCATCTCTCGTCAAGAATGGCCAATGATATGTCAAGAAATTTGTAATGTTTTGAACAACCAACAATAAAAAATTAAAATTAAAAAAAAAAAAAAAGAATGCCAAAACATTGGCCATTACAACAAGCCACTCAAACACTTCGAGGCCTAGGAGTGGCGACTAATCCCCATAGAAGTGCAATGGTATTAGATTGGAAGGATCCTGAAGGATGTGAAGGAACTATACAGCCATATGTATTGGATCATCTTCCCGTAAATTTATGGGGACGAGATGTCCTAGATCAATTAGGTTTGACATTAACAAATAACATCAACCAAAATGCACCCACTATTATGACTAGACAAGGTTTTAGGAAAGGAAAAAGATTAGAAAAACAAGAACAAGGTATAGCAGCACCAATACAAATAGATCAAGGAACAGACAGACATGGGTTGGATTTTCAGAAAGGGCCACTGAGACAATAAAAATTACTTGGAAATCAGAAAGACCAGTATGGGTTTCTCAGTGGCCCCTGACTAAAGAAAAGATACAAGCAGCCCATGACCTGGTCAAACAACAATTAGCGGAAGGACATATACAACCTTCTGTATCTCCCCATAATACTCCCATTTTTGTCATCAAAAAGAAATCTGGTAAATGGAGATTATTGCAAGATTTAAGAGCCATTAATAATGAGATGGTTATTATGGGACCTGCTCAATCAGGGATTCCTCAATTGTCTGCTTTGCCAAAAACCTGGTATGTTTTAGTTATAGATATTAAAGATTGTTTTTTTTTCAATTCCAATTCATCCTGAGGATAGTCCACGTTTTGCATTTACTATCCCTGCACTGAATCATGAAGGTCCTGATCAGAGATATGAATGCAAAGTACTCCCTCAAGGGATGGCTAACAGCCCAACTATGTGTCAAATTTATGTTAACAAAGCAATCCAGCCACTTAGAAATCAAAATCCTGAACTACAAATATTTCACTATATGGATGATGTATTATTAGCACACAAAGATAAAAACACATTGCTAGAATGTTATGCCACACTTACAAACTTATTAAAAAATTATAATCTAGAGATAGCAATAGATAAAGTACAATTAAATTTTCCAATTAATTATTTAGGAGTTCTATTATCCTCAACCATGGTCCGTCCACCAAAAATTCAAATACGAGTAGTGAATCAACTCAAATCACTTAATGACTTTCAAAAGTTATTAGGAGACATAAATTGGATAAGGCCTTATTTAGGTATACCAACAGGAGAGTAGCAGGCCTTAAAATCAAACCTTATGCATATTATAATTAGAAAATTTGTGACATATCTTGTTTTATGTAATTTCTATTGTGAAATTATGATTTAAATTTTTTCCAATTATGCAGAAATCTATTTTCATATAAAATTAAGATCCTAAGGGCTGGGTTG